GCAAAAGCTGAGGTATAGTTAAGTTTACAGTTCACCAGACAAGCTTCTTCAAATGGTTTATCTAATAATAAATTCTTATTCCTCAACGACACTGTCACTAAATACGAACCAATCGCAGGAATTGAAACCAATTACTGGATAGCTGGACGCCTCGAACAAATACTCATCACGTTACCGCCTCCTTGATTGATAGGATCCCACACATTTTGGTATTGACTGCTAATCTTGCATATATGGTATATTATCATTCCCACACATTTTGTTATTGACTGTCAATCTCGCACATATGGTATATTATTATCTCTCACGCACTTTGTTATTGGCTATTAAGATCAATTATTTCAAATGCTGTTAGCTGTACATATTGTTGTAAAATGTATAAATACCATGGCTTTCTTTGTCGTTGTTGCACTTCAATACACAGTCACGGTCCAGCCTCTGTCTTTTGATATTTGCGTGCTTTACTAAATCGGAAGGTACGACAAGCAGATAGGCAGAATAGTTCAGGCGCAGACAGAGCAAGGTGAAAACGTCTTCATTCAATTCCCTACAGTTATAACATTGATACTGTTGCAAATTAATCAGAGCACTTAACTACGTGCAGAAGTTGGCACTGAATGAACAGGGATATACAGCAATACAAGATCACACAGATTCATTCGATGGTAATATTCTGCTACTGCATTCCTTATTCGACATTTTGTTTGGATTGGTTCGCGGTTACTCTGGTTCCCGACCAAAAAGAATGAAAATTCACCGGTTACTGAATCAATAGTACTTCTCAGCATGTTTAACTGTATTCTAACTGCTGTGGTGAGCCTCTTGCAGATTATATTACTTAAAACATCGTTTACGGTAAACTAATTACCTAATTATAAGCCATTTTTATACTTTTGTGAGTAACCCACCATATCGACAAAATGTTACTCACATTTTCGACAAATTCAAACAATAGTGGTGCCTAGGATATCATATAAATTGTTTTAAGTTATGCAAAGTGTCTTTACTATCATTATTCTATTATCTTCCCTTGTATATATATCTTGTGTCAGTGAAAAATTCTAAAAATACTTACTCTATGTGTGCATCATTGTTATATTGATGATGCCTGTCAACTGGAGTCCCTCATGTGCATTAAGTGACAGTATATTATTATAAGATTCACTTTATAACTATATTAGGGAATTGAATTCAAGCTTTATTTATTTTCCCAATTATCTTTAATCCATCCAAAGATTACTTGCGTTTTTTTGGTTAATGCGAAGTCAATATCCCTATATCTCCTGATGTCGTCTATTGAATCACCAGATATAAGATTTTTCCCACAAACTAAAGACAAAACGACAGCAACCGTAAATCATGTAATGTAAACAATACTTATGCATGCCTATACAAATGGTGTAACCTACATAGGTAGGAATAAGTATGCACTTTATTATATTATCATTACTAACTATGCTTACTAATCGTTTGTGTAATTTATCGAATTGATGATGCCTGTAAACTGGCGTCTCTCAAGTACAAAAATGAGAATATATATTATCATTATTATTATATATTTCATCCAAAACTGAATATTCCAAGATTCAATTATAACAAAAGGCTTAAGATTGAATGTTTATTGAGTGAAACTACGTGAAATAACCTCGAGTTGGCAAACTGTTACTGATGTGTGCAGAGTTTAGAAGATAAAGAGATTTTGGCGCTTACGCAAATTACGATATACACAACGCAAGTTCTTAGACCACCCCCCCCCCGCCCAGCCACAACTCCTACAGTGTTTGTTCTGCGCAAATCAAAGCACCAGATTGGTTGACCGAAATATGAAATACATTTCACGATGAAAATCGTATTACGATGGTCATTAGGAAACCAGTTAGGAATCGTATGCTGACTAGATAGAGTAATTGCGAAACTCAGAATCCATATTGAGTAATGAATGCTGATACATTTAGGGAATTATTCACCGCTACAAAAGAGTAATCATCAAAAGATGAAATGGAAGTCTTGATGCTGCTAACAGAACTCGAAGCAACAGTAACCGCCGAATCACTAGCCCATAATTCTAATGAAATGATCTATGAAACCCAACCGCCAAAAGGGATAATCGCTCCACTCTAATCACCACACAGTTGTCAGCTGAATAAATGTAAATTACTTTTACGTCAACGTGCGTCCACTAGAAGGTAATTCAGTCACAAAATGAAGTAAAAATAAAAGCATTAGTGTGGTGAGAGCTGGCTGTTAGTCGAAATTGGTGGACAGTAATTTACGTCAATGTTTATGTCCCCAATATTGGTCGTGAGAAAAATGAGAAGAAAGGCATTGCGTAGGCGGATACTGTTAGCATATAGATGACCTGACATTCAAGAAACAGCCACAAAGAGATACAAGGTTAACTTTCTGTGAAAAACGACCACCAATCAGAAGACTGTTTTTCTGCTAACAATGATCTATAATAATGTACATGAAAATCTTTAAAAAATATATGTTGATTTCCTTAATAAACAATCTGTTTCCTGGCTCTTGTCTTCTGTTGTTACAGTAGTATTAGAAGTGAGTAGAAGAATGATATATATATATATCTTGGACCGGATGTGGAGTCCTCAAAAAGAAACTTATCCAAATTTTACTACTATGTAAATAATGAACATATTGTACACTACTTTGTTTTAACCATAAACTCTGTACTTTGAACTTTACCTCGGGTTTCGAAAAAATATATAGTTCTACTTTCGACTCTCCGTCTCAACTGCCGTCGATCAATTTTAATCACCTGCTTTCTATCTCAACATTTTGCAGGAGCACCGTAGTTTCTTCCTACGTACTTTGGTCGACCTCCGGCAACGTTAACATTGGAGAATTACTACTGGAGCAGTCTTCCCGCAGCACCTGGAGTCTATTACGTTTATTGTGGACTGTGGGCCTTTGTAAACTCAAGTAATCAAACTTTAATACATTCTTCCCGTAACTAAACTCATTTGGTATTTTATTTTCTACTTGAATTTGGGTAACTGAGCTAACAGAGTAAAAGGTCCACCACAGGACAATACCTTCATTATAACAGCTTCTGCCCTATGAGCTATACGCGGGGATTAGTGAGGACACTATACGACAGGGCCAGGAAATTATGTTCGCCTAACAAGGTAGAAGAAGAATTAAGCTTTGTCAAAAAATGCCTTGAGGAAAACGGGTATCCGAAAGGATTTATCCTAAAGTACAGCAAAGAAAGAGATGAGAAATCTCCAACAGTTGAGAAGAAAGTGTTCATTTGCCTTCCATACAAAGGAGAAACCGTATCTCAAAAGATTGAAAAGAGGATGAAGGGAGTAATAAAGAGATGTTTCCATGCAGCCAATTTGGTGACACTATACAGTACTACATGCTCTATAAGGCAATCGAAACTGGATAAGTACCCTGCTGATGTTACCTCTAGCTGCATTTATAAATTTACGTGCACCCGCGACAGGCAGTACATTGGAAGGACAGAAAGAATGACTTCTATCCGGTTTTCAGAGCATATTTCAAAAAACTTATGCCTAAAAGGAAGCAGATATTTACAAAGTGCGATTACCGGACACCTTGTGGATACGGGTCATTTTGTCGAAATTCCTAAATCCTTCAAAATTTCAAACATACAAAGGACGGTGAATCTACTACGATTTGCTGAAGCAATTGCAATCAAACGTCACAGACCAAACTTATGCATACAGAAAAGAGAGTGTGGTAAATCTCTCACTGCCTTGGTAACCATATCACTTTCATTACACTGATTAGTCATACACACTAGTTAGCTCAACTCACTAAGCAAATTTTCAAATTGATGAACTTTGACCTTATTGAGTTGCTATGTTGACACTGTTTATTAGATTTTTCCGTTTTCTGTCTTCTCTCATCCCCCTTTTTTTCCTTCTTTCATAGTTTGATAGTATATAAATTGATAGTGACTTAGATTATAATACTTACATTCCAGATGCGTTCACCTCATAGTGCTTTCTCTATTACCTTTCAAACAATGAAGTATGAAATGTTATTATTTATAACCATTGTAATTTCAGGTAATTTGCAGCCGATGAGAACCTGTGATGTGAACCTGCAAATCTGGTCTTTCTTTCTCTATCAAAATGATATATATATATATATATATATATATATATATATATATACATCACTCGCCAACCACCTCACTGGTAACTTCATGTACACAGCGATAAGCCACACCTAATGTATGTGAAAGTCTAGTGATACCGATTGGCTGACAACCACAGATGGAATAGTATTCAACCCCCTCTGCAAGCCAAATCACTTGGGGGACCACCTAGCTCGATAGACTAGTAAGTAGTACAATACCCATGAAGGCCATTTTTTTAGTTTCACCACTAATTACAGAGAAGTAGTCCACTCAAGTTGACAACTACTACTATATCTTAGGCACGTGTTGTCTATTTAAAGAACAAGACCACCAGAACATACAGATGATGTCATACATATGGAATTACAGATTATTCTTAACTCCTCTCTCTTAGTAGACAGTTAAGTAATACAAAAGAAAAGAAAAAAGAAAAGCAACTTAATTCAAAGATGAGGAAAAGTAAGATAAAAATCATTCACCTCTTACATAATAAATTATGTGTATTGTATATCGGATGAAATAATAATAATAATAAGCATAATCCTATGAATCGAAAGTATACATACATGTAGGCAAACAGAACAGAAGTAGGGATGAAAAAGAAAAATGCAATATGGTGGATGGATGGAGGATGTGTATACGAAACAAGAGAGAAAAAGAAAGCAACAAATTTACAAAAATAAAATAAATAAAAAGAAAAGAAAATCAAATAAGCTAGTGGAGAAAAATAACGATGGAATGATTATAAAAGCAGAATATTACGTTGAGAAAATGTCTAGTGAATAATTATATATATGTGTACATGTATATATGAGCTATATATATATCAATGTATATGTATATAAATATTTGTATAATTAATTAATGATTAACCGGAAAATTTCCAAATGCACACTAAATTATTGTCTGTAACAGCTACTAAATATTGACCATCATGACTGATATCTGTAGTATTGACAACAGGGTTTTTAAAGCCAGATGTGATACTCTCTTTGATTTTTGTATCTTCCTCCTTACTTCCACCTATACTACATTCTGGCCATTCAAGGATCTACAAAAACAGTTGGAGTTTGGGGAAAAAACAAGAAACAAAACATGATATGAAATTCAAACAGGTTACAAGTAGACCAACCAATAATAATAATAATAATAATTCTTAAAGGTAAACACGTTACACCCAACCGACCCTGAAAGTCAAGCGTTGGTTTGTAGGGATTTTGTTTGATTGCATGGAGGATTTCATCATGAGCTGACATCGGTTAGAGAACAACAGAAAAACCTGGGAGTACTAGACAGCTGTTTTGTCCTAGTTTGGGACTCTTCAGTAGTATGCACCCACCACCTAGGTTCGAACCCAGGACCTCCTGATTACAAGGCGAGTTCGTATACCAGTAAGCCACTGGGACCCGATCCAATGGCCCATGAATTTCAACTTCTGCCAGTTCATGACATAGCGCGACCCACAGTCAATGTCCTCGGCGAGTATAGTGATAGTTAGCTGATATATTGTGACACGGGAGAGTTTTACACAATAAAGTAGGATTAAGGTGAATTCTAGATTTTCCCGTCGACTGATTGGCCTGAAGTGCTCGGTCTCAGGTTGACATATCGGCTTCTTGTGCAAAGGCTTCAATGATTTCTGGGCATGTAATTAGAATTTAATTGGTGAATGGTGACCAGCAGCGGAATCCAGGACGCGCATTTCGTCCTATTCGGGACTCGTCGAGGCATCTGGCTCAAGGAGCCGACATGTCAACCTGTGACCGAGCACCTCGACTCGATCAATCGACGGGAAAATCAAAAATTCAATTAAATAATTAATATGACTCGTTACACAACTTGTGGCTTTTGCGGCCCAAGTGGATAAGGGTTTGGCGTTTGTAACCATGGGCACTGGAATCGAGCCTCGGTGGGAACATCATCACTTACTGGGGAATCCAGGTACATCCAGATGAAGAGTCCCCAACAGGACGAAATGCGTGTTGTCCTGGATTCCACTGCTAGTCACCATCAACCAAATAATGAAGTAGGATGCTATATTTGAGTGAAGTCAGGATGTAGAATTCTGCGTCGATTAACCTACATTTGAAATGAAATACTCCGCTTTCTTTTGTGGACATGTCGGCGACTGCTTCAACGACGACACCTTCAGTTTAAAATGATGCCAATTGGTTGATGCTGACAAGTAGAATAGACCATGTTAAAAGAGACGGCCATCTCAGAGTCCAATAAAAACAATTAGCAGAAATTACAGCAATAAAAACTTCGGACAAATAGCAACTAATGGACGTTGGCGCTCTTGTGACTCTCAACGGGAACACAATCAACCATTAGGGGGATGAATAAAACGTCCGCCCAAATAGGAATATAAGTGTGAGTCTTCGATCCCACTGCCGGACACCAACAACCAAATAATACAATGATATATCTCCATCAAGTTGCTATCCCATGAATAGACACCTAATCCCCCCCTCCGGATTTGTGATTTGTAGTTAGCAGCAGCAACAGATGACAGATGTCTCCACACCACACCACACTGAAACAATGTTAAGCATACCTCGGTTCATGACTCAGGAAAACAAACAATAATGACATGATAAAAGTCAGTGTTATGGTTTTTGGTCTGAATAACTCTCACCCTTCTAATAGCTCAATATAGCACACTGCTGTAAACAAGAAGACATATCCCAACCAGCCTAGTCAACAAGAGAATCTACAGCTCTATACAATCTGACATTGTTGACGTAACCTCCAACTCCAGTATGTAACACACATACACACACAAATCGCATACTCAATTTGAAGATACCTGGAAAACAAACATAGCCAGTGTTGCCAATAATGAGTCGAAGTAAACAGTCAAGTAAGCCTTAAAGTGCCTTTGAAGCCTTAGTATAACTATAACTCTCTCTCTCTCTCTCTCTCTATATATATATATATATATATATATATATATATATATATCAATAATGGACCCACACAAAAAACTTGGAGGATCTGGACTTCGCCGATGATATAAGTCTGATTTCCCACCAAATGGAAGATATGCAAGTGAAAAGCAACAAGTTGACAGAAGAAGCATCAAAGATAAGAAGGACTTCAGTTGAAAATGGAGAAAACAAGGGTGATGAGGATTCCTGGCCAACAGCAACAGACAAGAATAAGCATAAATGGGAGTAACCTGAAATAAACAACCTCCTTCAGCTAACCAACTGGGAAGCATAGTTTCAAATACAGGCGAAACTGACGAGGATATCAAAGCAAGGATCGGGAAAACAAGACAAGCTTTTATTACTCTTAAGTCTGTGTGGAGGTCAACAGCACTCAGCATCAAAAATAACATCCGGATCTTCAACTCCAATGTGAAGTCAGTGCTACTATACGGATCAGAGACTTGCACTGCGCGTCATAAAGAGCACCGGAAACAAACTTCAAATCTTCATTAACGGCTGTCTCCGCTCAATAATCAAGATCAGATGGCCAGAAAAGATCACCAACAGGGATCTCTGGCAATGAGCGAACCAACCCACCAGGAACCGATTGTGAAACAAATAAGCAGGAAGAAATGGAGATAGATTGGCCATACGCTGAGGAAACCATCAAGTGACATCACTAGACAGGCCATCGCTCGAGTGGAACCCGAAAGGGAAGCGGCGAGTTGGTCGTCAGTGCAAGGGTGACTTGGAGGAGGTCATGTGGGCAGACTTGTAGCCAGGAATTAAAGGAAATAATAATATAATAATAATAATATACATACCAATTGTTGTATAATACTGCCGTGTCAGACAATCGAAAATAATCTAATCAGTTTCTTTACAAACTTTAAGAACATTCAATGGATAAAGGTCTTAACACTACCATAAAGGTGTAATGAAAGTGATCAAACTTGTCACACAATCACTTAGTTTATCCGTAAAATGGATTAAATATGTAGAATAGTTTATACAACTCCGACTAACGGGTCGGTTGACTTAAAGTCCAGAAGTCGAATCCCATCCCCGCTCCCTACTTAGGCCTAGGCAGCTAGATTGACTTCCCCGTATAATCTGTTCTGTCTGACTGAGTGCTAGGTCTGTCTAAGAAGGATGGTCATGTATTGTGGATATACAAGGTAAACCATTGACAAATCATCTGTCATAGACTTACTTTAACAGGTTTTGCTTTAAATTTCCGATTTTCTGACTCTTCAACAATTTGCTTTTGTAGATCATATAACCAGATTGTGCCTTCATTATCACCACAGATGACAGCATTTAGACCAGGTCTAGCAGTGACATTTATGTAAATTTCTTCTGTAGTCTGCCAACGTAACTGACCACGTATTTCAACACTGACTGCCTTCTTATTGGAACCAGAGGCGGTTGTACTGCTACGCCTACGACGATTGATCACCTGGAAGAACATGAAGAGCCAATATGATAGAAAAGGTTAAGCTTTAAGAGAGTTTTTTAAAAAGGTTTGTTTTTCTATTTTCGGCCGACGGACTCTTGCTTGCTTGCTTGGTGGTAGGAAGCCATGTACAGGGGTAAGGTTGAAAGTGAGGCAAAAAACCATGCCCGGTGTAATAAGAACATCACAGCTACTGTAACCGCAAAGCTCAAGCTTGAAATCCATCCAGAAAGTAAAGCAATAAAAAACAAAGAATAATAATCACGGAGCGGTTCTTACCTGTCCATAGTTAATAACATAAATTTCACCTTCTTCAACACATTTCGTCACTATTAAATCGTCAGACAACTGAGCCAATCCATCAAAACAGGGTTCACGTCGTGTTGGCACTTTGAGCTCTAAATCCGCCTCTCTAATGATGATTTAAATCAAAAGAAATGAAGAAAGAAAATATGCATCAAATCCACACTTTTGGCAAACATTACGCAACAAATGAATTCTAAATCAATATATTTGTATGGTGGAGCAGCAATTCAAGACATATATACACCCCCAGAGTATCATAAGACGATAAGTTCAGAGTTTACCTATGTTCTTATGAATAACGAAGAACAAAGATTTGTTCACAAAAGGAGTATTTCTTTCCAACGACTTCATTTCTTCAAGCTGTCCCAGTAATGGTTATAATGCGTAAAATCGATATTTACTGCCAATACTCTTGAGTGTTTTTGCAGGGATTTGCTGATTTGTTTCAAGTTTGCATCACGAATCAATATCAACTAGGAGACCATTGAAAACCAGGGATTACTGGACAGCTGTTTCCTTCATCTTAGTTTGGGAATCGTCGGCAGTATGCACCCAGTGGGTTTCGAACCTGGGATCAATGACCCACTGGGTTCAGAACCCAGTGGGTGCATTCCGCCGTCGAGTCCCAAACTAGGACGGAGGAAACAGCTGTCTAGTATATCAGTCTGCGGTCAAACTTTAAAAGACGACTGAGTCAATCCAGATATGACCGAAATAATTCTCCATGACGTTTTCAACAGGGTAGAGTTGCAGCAGATGAATGACGACACTACAAAAAACTGTACTGGTAGAAATGTACTGGTATTACTCTGAGATTTAAAGTGAGAGTCAAGTGGTGTGAAAAATAGCTACAACTACAATGATGAAAACAATATTAAATGTTCCCATAGTAAAATTTACAACACATTTTAGATCCCACCAAGCTTAACTTTAATATACCTACATAACTTTACGAATAAAAATTCAAATATAAACCAATCATGGTGTTTTGTCTATAGGATAATACGATGGCGAATATAGATTGTGCAACTAGTCATAACTGTGGTAGATGGCTTAGCCAACATGTTAGTGAACATCTCCCATCGTGGTGGTTTGGCAAAGAACAGACAAAAACAGTCCGTAGCTCAATTTTGTCACACTTAGTTGATAGTAGTGGAGAAAACGAGAGCCCTCAAATTAATTCATCGTATCCTACCGAATCTTTCCAATAGACTGCAATATTCCTCTACTTCACACAGTTGAGGCAGGCGATACGCATTCGAACTATTAAACCTAAACTATGCATTCAAAAGAAGTTTGTACAGCTATTATCTCTCCACTGGCCTCTTAGGACATAACCAACTGATGAATTCTCCACCACTCCTTACTTATATTTTCAATCCCTTTCTTATTATACCTTAATTTTATCACATCTTCATTAAAAACGTGTTACATTTACCTCCTTTACAATCTGACATTACTTGATCGGTTCATTTGTTTTTCTCAGCCTTTATCGACTACTTCTACCTGAACATTTGTTTGTTTAATCTTTCGTTATTCTTGTTATCCCAGATCGCCTCACTTTTCATCCTTATTATTGATAGAACCATTATTATTATGACTAACTGCAAAATTTATACGCACCACTTTATTGTCCTATAGACAAAACACCATGATTGGCTCATATTCGAATTTTTATTTGTAAAGTTATGTTGGCATATTAGAGCTAAGCCTGATGAAAACAATATTGACCGTGAAGACAAACAAAATGGAGGGGAATGAAAGCAAACAGAAAGACCATTGATGTAGACTAAAGTTAAGAAAGAGATGTTTTAACAAAGCTCATTTGAGTACATAGTTTATATTCCCGTAATTCTATGTTTGGCATGAATGCTAATGATGAGAACACAAACTTTTACAGTGATTGAATTTCCTCTGCGTCCTGGTGGAACACAGATCTTTGAGCTTTAGCAATGAAGTCGCACAGTATCAGTGGTGTTATATTCCCTATTACGGGGTGGGGTGGGGGGGTGGGGGATTACTGGCCTCAGACCACACCCTTCCCCTTTACCAAATTTACTACTAGGCTGCTAAATGAGATTTAAGAGTGCATCGGTCGAGGCACCGAACCTCAGATCACATGAGTCGTGATCACAGAGCATTCCTACCGGTGAGCCAATGACTGACTAACTCACTGTCGGCAACTTTCAAGGACTAAATTAGCAAGGAGTGGTGTGATCTGACTTGATTCATCCAATGAACCAGGGTAGTGTTCACCTCGACGTATCTGGAGAACTCGTTTATAAGCCTTATGTGTTTTTATACTGTTATTGATCCGCCTATCATTGTATAAAGATAACAAAGATGCAAAAAGTTAACAAGCAGCTTGTAACAAGCAACAGTAAAAAAACAAAAACACAAAAGCTGTATGCTACACATTACACTAAAATTATTGATTTTGAGCAAATATATTATTACAAGATACATTTTAGGAATTAGTGGAGAATAAAAGACAAAAGAAAAACCAAATTCATTAATGTGTGTAGGTGATTATACACACAAATCTAGAATCTTTGCTTATGTCTGATTCCCTCTCTGTCTCTCTCTGTTAACAGCTAACAACTACAGTTTTAACAATATATCATCAGTACTTTCGTGTAGACACCTCTGTCTGTAATAACAATAACGCATAACTCTGTCTAGATCAATACTGTCTCAGTCTTACCGTATAAAAAGGTAATAAGACTTTTGTATTGTATTATGCTGCTGTATATCATACCATCTATTGTTGATGTAGTTAACAGGAGAATTTATCGCTTACGATCGTAGCAAAATAATTGACAAAAAAATCTTTTTTTTTTCTTCACATTCCCATTGGAACAGTGGTTTGAAGTTTCTGTAGCAGTGTGTATTTTTTTACAGGATGGGGTTGCTAGCCTCATGGCCAACCTTTCCTCTTTACCAGCATTATTTCTGGCTTAGCAAGGTAAAGGAGTGCGTCAGTGGCCGGGGATCGAACCCCGGACCATGTGCACGGTCGGCGAGCTTCCTAACCGCTACGCCACCGACGCACCGACAATAAATCATTAGTAAACAACATTATTGAGTGTTATTTATCTTTTTATTTTATGTTCCCATTGGGACATAAGGCTTCAAAAGCTAGAACTTTAAAGTTTCGGTAGCAGTGGTATTTATATTTGCGGGAGAGACGGGGGGGGGGTTACTAGCCTCATGTCCAGCCTTTCCCCTTTTAGAAAACAGAAAGATTGAGCGAGCGAAGAAATATTTACTTTTCAAACAGATCCTCATCTCTGGCTCTTCTCTCATACATATAGCATTTTTATTACAATACACAACAATTTACCAATCAAGTGGCGATATGTTTGTAAGCAATAATTAAACAGTGTCGAAATGTCAATGGGTTAATAATTAACGAAGAAAACCAATACATATTTAAAAGGTGGAAATGGTTAGAATAAATTAATTTTACAAGGATAACACGTAAACAAAGATGAAGTGGTCAAAATAAATATAAATAAAATAAATAATTTAGACAATTATAATTTTACAGGTTTAGGGGGAAGGGGGCGACGCAGTTCCGTTTATGCATTTTTGTGACGATGGCCACGGTAGGGAAAGTGGCTGTACAAATTTTTTCTGTACACATAGACTTGGCTTCTTCAGGTGAATTTCGATCGCTTCAGCTGTCTGTAGAAGACGAACTCTCAGAGCAAAATTAAGATAAGTCCCCTTTTACCGCTCATACCACTGGCTTAGCGACATAAAGAGGTACGTCGGTGGTCGGGGATAGAACCCTGGACCCCGTGTGTGTGGTTGACGAGCGTTCTACCGCTAACCCACTGACTCCCAGTTATCGAGTATCGTATGATACTTATTATTATGGAGTTGTACCTCACTTGTCTAGAACTATTATTCCCATATAGCGGTCATCAGTTTGGATCCCGCTCCAACCAACTAAGGTTACGGTGGCGAGACAGTAAATTTCATTAAGCATCACACACAATATAGGCGCATAGAGTTCACTACAAGTTGCCATAGAAATATGAATATTTGACTTTAATTAATTCGCATATGCGCCTGCTGTTGTTTGATAGTTATCCCTTTAGCCTACAGAAATAACATTTTATTTTAGCGAAATCTATTGTTCATATATTAGAATATGAAGTTCAAATACAATCTTTGCTTACATATATTATGATATAAGAGGTGTTTTTCTAAGAAGCGCTGACACATAATAAGTCTACTTTTAAAGAAGACAAATCTCGCCGACGCAATGAAAATTTACATTTTGTGTATTTTTCTAAACCATACTGTAGATTAGATCAAGACAGATAAGCGAACAATATTGCTGTTTTCGATAAGATCTTCTTCAGGTTTTACTCTAATTTACATAGACTTATATATAAAAATTTTAACCAATGAAGGTGATTCTGTGGATCAAATAATAATAGTAATAATAATGTGGTAAATGTTTTGAACGTCATTAATAACGATGATTATAATGATAACCAAATATTGATAATAAGGTTTATACAGGTGGCGATAAGAATAACAAAGGTAGTAATATGTGTGCATATGTAGACAATTCAACAAATAAATAAATTAGGTGAAATCTTAAAAGTTACGTAACACTAGGGGTGAAGTGGACAGATAATCAGAATCTTAATAAATATCATAAAAGTACGAAGGAAATGGAAAATAAGAAAGGGTGGGAGGGTTTTGAATAGAATTCACCTAGGCTAGCCGAGGGAGAGACAAAGGTAGAACAAACTTCTTTTGTATGCATGTATACCCATAGCTTCGGCTATGTGTAAAAGACGGATTCGAATTCCGTTCGAAAGGCTCGATGGAATGCGATAGATAACTGTGAAGGCACTATTTCTGTCCACTTGGTGACCACTATCATCAATCAAATGAGCCAAAATGGAACTTCTTGTAGGTTTTATTTGACCTTTTCCGAACCATGAAGGAAGATGCTCATTAAAAAGTTTGTTAAGCTGTCTAGTTGTTCACCGTATATAGCTCTCACCAAAGGGGCAAATAAATTTATAGATACATATACATAGAGGTGGCACAGCTAGGTAGCTTGTCTTTCTCTTGAGCAATCATAATTGGCCGGCTGGAAATGACAAAAAAGGGTGGCGGCAAGTATAAGTCCGTTTTATTGCTCTCGATAATTTCAGATGTAAGACTTCGCTACTGTAGATGACATTAAAATGTATTAAATGAGTTTATTTGATGAAAAATCATATCAAAATGACGCGGTTATAGGGAATATATGGTGCGGTGCCCGAAACGGGATTCAATTATTAATACTGTATCGCTTCCCTACCCCCCCCCCGACTGTGTGTTATATACAATAAAATGACCTAATATGGAATTTTCAAGTATTGGTTTTTGTAGGGATTTTGTTTGATTGGATGGAGGATTTCATCATCATGAGCTGACATCAACTAGAGAACCACTGGAAAACCTGCCGGGGAGTACTGAGCAGCTGTTTTCTCCGCCCTAGTTTGGCACTCTTCGTCAGTATGCACCCACTACCCAGGTTCGAAAGCAGGACCTTCTGGTTACAAGGCGAGCCAACTAGTGGACCATTGAGTCACTGGGAATTATATACATTCCATGACAATGTGTAAATTCTCCTCTTAAATATATATTAGAGGTATATGGGAATTTTAAATGAACTGACATAGAATACACTCATAAGCACAGTTTTTGTTCAGTGAAGAAGAGACCTCATTTACAGACTGTACTGTCGTAGTTATATTACAGAAAAAGGAGACATTATTAGATGGCACTAGGAATTGCTCAGTCAATAACGTACATATGATAAGAATAAAGATGTACTAAGGGGAGGCGGCCTGCGTCGGTGGCAGAGCGGTTAGGAAGCTCGCCGACCATGCACATGGTCTAGGGTTCAATCCCCGGCCACTGACGCACTCCTTTACCTCGCTAAGCCAGAAATAATGCTGGTAAAGAGGAAAGGTTGGCCATGAGGCTAGCAACCCCATCCTGTAAAAAAATACACACTGCTACAGAAACTTCAAGCCACTAGCCTGAGGACCTATATTCCAATGGGAACTTGAAGGAAAAACAAGGGGAGGGGGTAGATTTGACGTGGATGAAATACAAGACTTTTAAAGATTATTAAATCAGCGACTCGGTACTAGGATTTTAGAAACAGTAGGTCAAGCTTTGAGAATACAATGATGATAGCCATATAAACGCTGAAAATGAAGTGAAGTGGAATGAATTCAAGCGGTAAAATAGAATAAAGTGAAAAGAACATTCCTATGACCAAAGTAGGGGAAAAAGTCGAAGAAAACGTATTTAACACATAATTTAGACCTTCTGTCCACGTATAGCTAGACTTGCGGCTAAGCATAAGTGAAGAAGACAACGTAAGCTTTCGGAATTAGTCGGATTTACTCCTGTAGATGACTTTAAAGGAGAAAGGATAATAATGCCTTCTTGTTCAGTAATATAAATACGACAGTAAAGCTTGCAAATGAAGTCGTCGGAGAGAAATATTTTTTCGCTGAATGAAAGCTGTGTTTTTCTTTATGAATTAACATGAAACGAAGATTACTTATAAAGCAGTGGCGCTTTTATCACCCTTCCCTTTTTGAAGATTCGATTCACTGGGGATTAATGTTCCATTTCAACTAAATGATATCAAATAATCATTTTGTTATGAGTATGGATGAGTTTTAAAACGCTTGTTGTCTCAAATAGGCTTTTGTGTGTGTGTGTGTGTGTATTTCGTACAATGGTCACTTACTAACTGCTTCTGTGGTGAGAGCTGGCTGTTAGCCGAAATTGGTGGACAATAATTTGGGTCAATGTTTATGTCCCCAATAGTGGTCGTGAGAAAAATGAGAACAAAGGTTCTGCGTAGGTGGACACAGCTGACATATGGATGATCTGACATTCAAGAAAACAACCAATCAGAAGACTGTGTTTTTCTGTTAACAATAATCTATAATATGTACATGAAAATACATAAATACGTGTTGATTTCCTTAATAAATGATCTGTTGCCTGGCCTTTGTCTTCTGTTGTTACACTTCTACACCTATATTCATTCAGTTATTAACACTGAAATTTACTAACCTCAGAGGAAATAAACACTAAAATATGGAAGATATTTGGGAAGATTTAGCTTAGTTAGCCCTTTTGTAAAGATGTCGCATACAAGCGAGAAGCCTACCATAACTTGTCTTCTCTTGCTTTGACCAAGGTGACCAAGGAAACACGCGTTGTGTGGATGGAGAATGTTGAATGAAATTAAACTCTTGATTAGAGAGATCATAGTATGCCTTTGTATGGAGAGAAAATTCAAGTATTTCTCCGTGTGAACAGGCGATTACGAACAGATATCGATGCAGTCGCATCATCTAATTTTGCATTAACAATCGCCACTGTAGTGGCGGCTTGTACTACTGAAAAGATATATCAGCAGTTTATCGGTGCACAATAATATCAAACAGCAGAGAGATAGATTTGATGTAAGAGAGAGAAAGAGGAAGTGAACCAGTATCGTGGCGAAATATGGAAGACACGAAAAGAAAACAAAGAAACACAATACGAAGGAGAAAAGTACCACAACGCAGAAGATCTGTGCAAATGACGATTTTCAGATAAGGTACACATAATTTACCCATACGTTATATAAAATTCCCAATAAACACTTTGTTACCAAGTTTCTTGCCGTCCACCGATACATTTTGGTGTCACTGCCTCTAAACAATGAAGATTCCATGGCCTCTGGCTTCCGGAGAAAGGGATATAAGCAGTTGAGTTGGTGGGCGTCAAGGTTCCGGCGCTGAAAGTGGTTGTGCTGGGGACGCTGCTGAGAGCTCGGGAAACCGCAGTGTGCAACACTGTGTAGCGGTCGGATGATAAAGAGACCTGGAAGGTATTGGTTAAACGACTGGTGGTGGAGTTCAACAATTCGAGGGTCAAGTAGCTGGCAATGCAGCAAATCCGTGCCACGAAGCTGGGAACTGATGAAGACCCGTTAGTATTGGATGTGAAGCTGATGAATCTAATGCATCACCCACTCCCTACACACTGGATGTAGAGTTAGAGTAGCAGTTACACTGTAACAACAATCACAGAATTAACTTAACCCACAATAAACATGACTTATATTAATCAAATCCTGGTGTGTAGGGATTTGATTGGTTTCAAGATTTCATCATGAGCTGACATTAGTTAGAGAATCATTTTAAAACCTGCGAGTACCGGGCAACTGTTTCGTCTGAGTTTGGGACTCCTCAGCAGTACGCACCAACCACCAGGGTTCGAACTCAGGACCTTCTGGTTACAAGGCTAGCGAGCTCGTAGACCATCAAGCCACTGGGACCCGATCCAATAGCCAGTGCATGAATTCTAACTTCTGCCAATTCACGATATAGCGCGACCCCCAGCCAATGTCTTCGGCGAGTGTTTGTCCTCACATCCGACCTGCTGTACTCTACTGGTCACAACTTCTCACTAAAACCCCGGGTAACTCCCTACCTGAATAGAGCAAGTCGCTAGTAAGCATCCCGTTGATATTCAAGTGTTGGTTTGTAGTTCCGCGGTATATGCTCGCTAACCACGCAAGTGGTCTAGGGTTCGCTTCTCAGTCGACACACTTTTAAGCTTCACCTAATCGGCAACAAGCCCATAACATAAGGAAGGTTAGGCATGAGGCTAGCAAACCTCCCCCAATAAAAAACAACATTACAGCCTGAAACCAAATGTTCCACTTGGACACACACACACACAGGGAATGAAGAAAAACTAAAACTTTAAATAGACACACGAATTATAGATAACCAGCTTACTTTTCTTCGTTATGCTTTTCTTTACGGAATTCTTTTAATGTCCAAGAGAATATTCCATCTTCACAGCCTGCTACCAATGCATCGTATTTTGTCAGGAAAACCAGATTCAATACAGGATTGAGACTTGCTCTTGGACAAACTAAACGCATTAAGAGCTGATGACGAGTTTTATACTCCGGTGCAGATGGAATACCAATATCCCATACCAAAACAGAAGCCTAAATTTATTTAAGAAGATTAAGGAAAAAAACAACAAAAAAGTGCTTAGTTCAAATAACAAATTAGCTTGTGAATATTTTATCACAATTGAAAGAGTTAGAAATAAACGGTCATCTACAGGGCAGAAGTAATAGTATACTGGAGCATTGCATTGGAAGATTACACGCCAGACAGTTGGATAGCCAAAGTAGGATATATTTCAAGGACGAATTGTTTAGACAAGAGTCTGTCTGTCTAGATTTAATATAGAACTTGGCACCGAAGTGCAGCAATTCGAGTTGCCACCTTCCATATAGCACACAGAGGTAGACGAGAAGATGAGTGAAGAGTATCAATAGAGTTTGACAAGTATAAGAGTGAAACAGAATAATGGGTAATGGTAGAAAGGAATATGAAAGATTACAGAGACTGAATACATCTGCGCTGGCCATTGACAACGATTTTGAGCCTTGTCACCTATTGTCTCCTCCAGCCATTGATTCCTAGAGTCAGTCCCGAGGGCCCCAACCCGGAAGTCTGCATCTCCCTACCTGACTCAGTTTAACTGTCAAGGATTTCATGGATTGATGAGGCCATGTTTTTGTTTGACCACCACTTACTCTTTTCCAACCTGCACCACCTATATCAGGTAGTAATGCCCTTCGGGGGAGGCGATGGTTAGGCATGCGCAGCACGTAACCTAACCATCTCAATCTATGTAACTTTATAGCCTCGTCAATTGATTTTCCCTCTTTACCCAACACTCTACGCCTAACGTCAACACTACTTACCTTATTAAACTACAGCCTAACGTGAGAAAGAGATCGTAGACATCTATGATCGAAAGCGGTCAACCTTTTCATGTCTTCAACTCGTATTGGCCATGTTTCGGAGCCATAGAGAAGGACGGAGCGAACTGCTGAGCCACACACACGTCCCTTGGTTGATAACCGGATGTCACGCCTACGCCAGAGATGGTGTAAGTCAGCGAAAGCAGCTCGAGCTTTTTGGATCCGTGCTGAGCTTTCGTCGCCAATCACTCCGTTGGACAACTTCCCAAATAGGTGAATTGGTCAACATGTTCTATCACTTCAATCCCTATCACTAAGCTAGGACTTGACGTAGTCCAGTCCTGTAGCAGCATCTTAGATTTTACAGGGGCGAATCGCATGCCAAACATACGAAGATTGCCGCTCAGCTCAAGGTGTTCAGAAGACTGCATTTTGTCAGCATCCTCCCCTAACAGGACTATGTCATCTGCATATTCTAAGTCCATAAGACTATTCCCTGGTAACAAGTCGATACCTAAGTCATTAAGTTCAGTTAAGGATACTTCCATTAGCATATCTATGATGAAGTTAAACAGAAATGGGGAAAGTGGACATCCCTGTCGGACACCACTGGTTGTTATCAATTCAGATGACAATTCCCCATAAGCCCTTACACGGCTACGTGAGTTTGAATAGAGTGCCTTGATTAGTGCAATGTACTTTCTTGGCATTCCCGGCAAAGTTAAACTTTCGACACCACTAACAACCAATCAGAAAACGACCTTGAACGGACCAGTCACATTAAAGAGGCATATATGATGAATGGAAATGTATATTTTTAGAAAAAAGCATAAAATAGAGAATAAAAAAGTTACATGGGATATCTTTCTCGAACATGTGACAGAAACATCTCCCAGTTTAGCATGGGACTGTCAATGGAGAAGTTACACCATATCCTGTACATATATTCATCCAAATGACCATAAATGAGATCCATTTATAGCCCTTATCCTATTTTTCAACCTACCCCAAAATCCTCCAATAGAATTTGTATGTGTCCTCGTAACGGGATCCACAAAATCACTTGAATGGTTGACTCTATGATGAATATATCCCAGAGATGACAGTGAATTGTAGCCTTTCCATTTGTCGGTGTGTATAATTGACCCCCGCTTAACAAGTCTGGTAATAATAGGTATAAGAGTAGTTGCTTTTCTATCTGCTATCCTTAGGAAGAGAAGCGACCTACCGAAAAAAGTCCCTACGAAATATTAAAATTATCAGCTTACTCTCTCCAGCGTTAGTAGGCTTCAAACATATAGCACAACGATGAACAAACCCATCAGTTGATTTGGTATAGCTTTTTAAAGTCATGATACCACCACACAAACAAATTCGCTCTTTCCGGCGCAACTCAAATCCAGGAAATACTGGAAAACGCTAACCTCCTCGAATTGCAACAATAGCTTTGTAAGGTCACGCATTAGAAATGAATCAAGCGCTATAGAACATTGAACTGCGTTCGTGAATCTCATTGGATAATTCGCTGATTGGTAGTTAGTGGTGTCGAAAGTTTAACTTCGCCGCATTCCCTTCACAGTCAAACATTGCCATAGTACCTTTCGATCCACGGAGTCGAAGGTCGCCTTCAAGTCAAGAAATATGGCAATTGTTGGACGCCGAAAAGAGACTTACTTTTCAGTGATTTCAATCACTAAGCTGTACAACAGAAGTTGTATATAATTACTTTTGTATTCGTGTGTGTGGACATTCAGTTTGCCAAGAATAAATAGTACAATAGAGGGTATGAGTTTGAAACGCTGTTTACAATAGTGGAGAGTGGTGAGGTTGTGTAACACGAAGAAAAAACTGTAAAGCAGTAGCCCTGTTAGCCACAATGTCAACCAATTAAAACACTGTTTGTAACTCTGGTATGGAATCGTTACCGAATAAAGGTCATGTATGTCGAATATGTCATTGAATAAAAAGTGTTTCTTTTTAAATTGAAGACGCTTGAAAAGTGGAGACTTCTCAATATCCTTGAGAAGTATCTGAATACATTATTAGGCACGTAGTCAGCAAACACCCCTGTCGGGTGTTAAAAGATGCTACAGGACTTGTCTAAACCGATACGTAGTTTTAAGATCGAAGCTGAAGTGGTTAAAACTGCTGACGACTGTAGTTTTTCGAGATTTTGTGCTGGCCCTCACATAGACAAGTTTACCTGACGACGAAATGTGAAAACAACAAGTTTGAACAAGTTTACCCCTCAAAAAGTGTGAGTAGGGTGCTCATCAACGAGTGCTGTACTAGTCAACGACCGAGGCGCACAGTGGTTAAAAGTAAATATGAAAAGATAATAGGTTTTTGACAATAATTATCCTAGTTGTATCGCTCGAGTTCAGTGTAGCAGTTTGGTAAGCAATAATCAGATTAATCACAGAGCGTAAGATTGTGAAGATGAGTCGACCAATCAATGAAAAGAACTATGGGATGTTACCTATTTGGGTAACTGGGACATGCGTGATGTGGGTGCAGTCACTGCTCTTCAGCATGGGCTGCAATGGCTTAACGTAGAACTAAATTTTTAAAGAAAGCACCAGAAATCAGACTAAAACATGACAGTAATTGATGAATTCATTAACAGTTGGTGCGAAATAAGCATAAGTGGAAATGATATTCTCCTTTAATCTTCAGAGCATTAATAATTAATGGGACGGAAGTATTAGTGAGATTATTCACTCCTTATTATTACCTTCTATAATCCTAATTATCTTCTCATTTATATGCTGCTGTCTGGAGGAGGATAAGCAGATGGCATTTGAGTACCGCTCCGTTTGAGGACAACACAAAATCAAACGACTCACACCCACGTAGTTCCAGCTTCGTGGAAACCAAAAGAGAGTACGCAAACTAACAGTCTTATATAAAGCAATGAACAACTATGAGGATCATCCTAGCAGTTGAAGCGTATGGCTTATGAGACTGGAAAAGAAAGTGCTTATCATCGGTGATTCCGGCACCAGAATGGTTAATATATGCTATGCTTGTAATTCAGATGATATATGCACACAGCATATGAACAATGAGGCCGGTTAAAGTAATCTAATCGGCAGGAAAAATCACTCCGTCTGAACCTTATAGGGAATAATAATCAAGCACATAGCTGAATACAAAATAACAGTAAACTATAGATCCGTAATTAAGAGAGAAATTCTCTAATAATAATAATAATAATAAATTACCTTGGAATCACCAGAGAATAAGATAGTTGGTTTTTCGGGATGAAATATCATACAGGCAACATCTTCTTTATGCCCACGCATTTCGGCATAACACACCAATTGTTCTGGATGTAACAGACGAATTTCGTGTAGTTTACCAGCTGCAGCTAACAGATTTGTTTTATGCCCTGTAGCCATTTCAACAGTAGTCCAGGCTAATGTGTAGAACTCCTAACAGAGCAAACAGAAAATATTGAGTTATGATTATACAATACACACACAGAGTGGTTATTCATTTATTTAAACGCAGAAAAAACTTGGAACAATTTGGCACCAAGAAAGATGCGCCACATAATAATAAATAGACAGCATAGATTAAAGGTAAAAATATCAGTAGAAAACGGATAAAGAACTTCATCTGGAAGGAAAACAGTCATGCTTAACAAGTTCAAACAGTATTCGTTAACTATTATCGGGAAGAAAAGAAAGAAGGAAAATGCGACACGTTCGCCATTGATTACGATTCTTGGCCATATCCGATAACGTTTGGAGCTATCTCGCGGACCCTGACCAGGAAGTCGTGACTCACCAACCGATGCTAATCTAGCACTAACATCCTTCATCCCATGATGCAGCGTCATGGACTGACCACCTCCGCCTTTTCCATTCCGTTCCAGGGGTAGCGAACACACACCTGTACGGAAGCCTCTAAGATGATATTCGCAGCACATGTCCAAGACATCGGAGCCGGTGTTTCCAAATGACGACAATCAATGAATGGTGATCTCCACTGTGTTCAAACACACGCCGCCGAACCTCTGAATTACTCACATGATGACGCCATCGAACGCGAGCAATTCTGTGGAGACAGCAATGATCGAACATACAGAGTCGTCGCACATCCTCAGCTCGGAGAGGCCAGGTTTCACAGGCGTAGAGCAAGACAGCCGCACCGAAGCATTGTATAACCGACCTTTGACAGGCAGGTTAACGTCGTAACGGTTATATTTAATAAAAACTTTATGATTTCCATTGAAGAATAAGAAAGACATCTGACACCTCTGAAAATATAAGTCAACTAAAGAAAGAAAGAAAGAGGAACTAAAATGGGGAAAGTGACAAAGACATACACACTTGTCATACTATATTTACTGGAGTAAGTAGGTGGTAACTTGTAATGTTATCATTCTAGAATACACGCATAGCTTACTGAGCCCTTTATGACAGCACAGAGATTGGATATTTTACAGTCGAGTGAAAAGAAAAGAGAAATTAATGTTACTTAACCACTTGACAATGGGCTACGGCCTATTATGTGCCGGTCCCAGCAATACTGCCTGGTTGCTTAAACTCTCGACAGATGAAGTGGGGTTTGAACCCGCTGCTTGGAAATTGAATAACTCGACCGATGATTCACAACAACAACCTAATAAAAGCAAACACGGTCAAATGTGTATTCATCAGCAGCGGTGGCAAGGGATTTCGGCGCACGCTTTCAAAGCATGCTCTCAACACTGTAATATAGTGATTGGGAATTTTTATGAAGACAATTGCGAGACCTATTCGGGGATAAACTGTGTCAACACTCTACATGGATCCCATAGAATTCTACGGACACGAGTGTTATAAAGCTATTAACGGTTAATGTACAATTCAGATATCTCGCAGCGAGTTATCAGCATCGTTAGCCCTCATACCCGATAATCGTGTATCTGAGAGGTTTAGTACATGAAATATACAAAATCCTCAAACCAAGTTGTTAGATATGATGGAAATTCCTTTGACATCTTCATCCGTTCCCACTGTCTGTGGTTGAAACGTTGCTTCCTAGCCGGATAAGTGAAGGAAGTAATCTCTGTCAAATCTCTTCCGTTGATGGTGATTGATGCTGGTTGTTGTTGTTGTTGCAACAGAAGACAAGGGCCAGGCAACAGATCGTTTTATTATGAAAATCAACACGTATTTATACATATTTCAGACAACATTATTATAGACAAGCGCAGTCATCTGATTGGTTGTTTAGGTAGACAAACGCAGGCTTCTGATTGGTTGTTTCGGGATTCCTTGACAAACAGAGTTCTCTATCTGCGAATCATATTTTGCCACGTTAACTTCGCTGTGATTGGTTGTTGACTCAGCCTTGTTCACGGCCCATATTAGTGACCTAGACCTTAACGTAGATTAGTGCCAACCAATCGGCTAGCAGCCTGCTCTCACCACACTCGTCCCCCCGTCAAATACGTGCGACTGAAGTCGGCTTGATCTACTTGGTGCAGGCATCATCGTTGGCTTGTCTCGCTGTATCCATTTCTGGAGCTCGCTGACGTTCACGCGCCTCTTATTGTTCGCCATTGCGACTGTGTCTGCGTAACCCCATCTCGAAGTGACCATATATGGTCCTTCCCACTTTGGAAACTGTTTGCCTGACCCTGTCGAACATTCGTCCATACTTCGGCCCACACCTTCATATGCTGCTTTCGCCCGACCTCCCAGCAGCGTCTCAAGTAGCAGCTCCATCGCTGATAGATCTTGAACGCCACTCAACTGCGCAGAAGCCTTGAAGTCCTGCCCGAAGATCCATATGTCTCCATCAAAAACTGCAGGGTATAGGCTTTTCATTTGTCGGTAGGCAGCGACACCAAATGTAACAACAGAAGACAAGGGCCAGGCAACAGATCGTTTTATTATGAAAATCAACACGTATTTATACATATTTCAGACAACATTATTATAGACAAGCGCAGTCATCTGATTGGTTGTTTAGGTAGACAAACGCAGGCTTCTGATTGGTTGTTTCGGGATTCCTTGACAAACAGAGTTCTCTATCTGCGAATCATATTTTGCCACGTTAACTTCGCTGTGATTGGTTGTTGACTCAGCCTTGTTCACGGCCCATATTAGTGACCTAGACCTTAACGTAGATTAGTGCCAACCAATCGGCTAGCAGCCTGCTCTCACCACATCATTTCTGTTGGTTGGTTATCTTCATCACTTCCATGTTCTCTATGTTAACCTAGAGAGAGTCCTATCTCCACTGCCTTCCTCTTCTAACAGTCTGTTGGTTTCGCCTGTATGCCTTCTCATCGATGGTCCACAGCATACTCCTGTCGTCTCCTCACTCCACACAGTCCGACACACATAATCCAGTCTACCACAATTAAGTATATCATCGGTGGTAATAGACAGTCTTGTCTTACACATGTGCTCACTTCAAACGCCTCGCTGAGTTTTTCGTTGTGGATCACCCGACACATAATTGTTGAATGAGACCGATATAGACTTGAGACACGCCATAGTGTTGATGTAGTTTCCAGATTACGTCTCAGCCAACGTTGTCTGGTGAAGGCCTTTTCGAAGTCGATGAAGTTGAGATAGAGGCAGAGTTGGCTGTCATTCTATGCTTTGTTCAGTGATGATGACGATGATGCGTAGAGTTGCAATTTGATCAGCACATTAAATTGCCTTTCCCGAATCTAGCTTATACCAGTGAGGCGAAGTTGTGCATCCAATTCTGCATCTCTTATTCTCTCCAGGATGATGCAACTTAGTATTTTACTTGGAATGGACAAGTACACATCTTACAGAAAAAAACATACCGTCTAAACACAGTTCAGAAGCTAAGCAAGAACGTGAATACTCTGAAATTATTTCACTGAGTTTAAGCCCCGTTCCATCTACTTCAATCTGAGCAATTCAGTAGTCGGCAAAGTTAAACTTTCGACACCACTAACAACCAATCAGAAAACGACCTTGAACGGACCAGTCACATTAAAGAGGCATATATGATGAATGGAAATGTATATTTGTAGAAAAAAGCATAAAATAGAGAATAAAAGAGTTACATGGGATATCTTTCTCGAACATGTGACAGAAACATCTCCCAGTTTAGTATGGGACTGTCAATGGAGAAGTTACACCATATCCTGTACATATATTCATCCAAATGGCCATAAATGAGATCCATTTATAGCCCTTATCCTATTTTTCAACCTACCCCAAAATCCTTCAATAGAATTTGTATGTGTCCTCGTAACGGGATCCACAAAATCACTTGAATGGTTGACTCTATGATGAATATATCCCAGAGATGACAGTGAATTGTAGCCTTTCCACTTGTCGGTGTGTATAATTGACCCCCGCTTAACAAGTCTGGTAATAATAGGTATAAGAGTAGTTGCTTTTCTATCTGCTATCCTTAGGAAGAGAAGCGACCTACCGAAAAAAGTTCCTACGAAATATTAAAATTATCAGCTTACTCTCTCCAGCGTTAGTAGGCTTCAAACATAGCACAACGATGAACAAACCCATCAGTTGATTTGGTATAGCTTTTTAAAGTCATGATACCACCACACAAACAAATTCGCTCTTTCCGGCGCAACTCAAATCCAGGAAATACTGGAAAACGCTAACCTCCTCGAATTGCAACAATAGCTTTGTAAAGTCACGCATTAGAAATGAATCAAGCGCTATAGAACATTGAACTGCGTTCGTGAATCTCATTGGATAATTCGATTATAAGCTCTTACGCAACAAGTGCCACCACCTGTAACCTAGAATATGAATGCCCCGAAAAGGTAACTTAGATCATAACAATAACAACAACAACAAAAACCAAAACGTTTTACTGATTAGCAATCAGTACAGGCACGCACATACACTTACCTCACCGAAGTGTTTAAATCGTTTCATTACACGACCTGTTTTACAATCAATCAAACAGACACATTCACCTCCACAGGTGGCTACAATATTCGATGTTTCATTATGTGGATCATTGATACTTGGTTCAAATGCACAACGCCATACTTTTGTTTCACAATCCAATGGATCATTATCTCGTGCATGACATCGAATGAAATGCAGGGGATCATAATCAACAATCTTGTATGAAAATGAAGCAAGCAAAAAAAAACAATGACATATTGGGGCTTTATGATATGAAGAAAATAAATAAATTGCATGAATTGCGATTATAATTAATTTTTAATTTTTTTTTTAATTTACAGCTTGATTCCACACTGTATTTTCGGTACAAGTATGGAATTTTCAGCATGGATATCGGTAGCCCAAATTTTGCAGGCCGACCATTGATATCAGGTGTGCGTCGGTGCGGGCTCGAACCCCGGACCATGTGCATGGTCGGCGAGAGTCCTAACCACTGTGCCACCGACGCACACATAAAGTGCTTAGCTGGAGGCCTCGCCGAGACTCGAACTCGGGTCGCTGGATTCAGAGTCCAGAGTGCTAACCGCTACACCACGAGGCCTGAATCCCGACGGGGATGGGATTACATCCGTCCAAGAGGAAGAATCCCCTTCGAATCCGAATCCAAGAACATAAATTAACTGTGGTAAGCCACAACAGATATTCTTTCAATATCGATGTGTGTGTGTGTGTGTGGATGATTACCGACAACAATTTGACTGGCAGAACGTCTAAATTTGAAGCAGAGGAAAAACCAAAAGTGCCAGGAGGATTTCTAGAAGCCTGGTACTTAAATAAATCAGTGATTGATTAACAGACACATGAGTATTGATAAAATTTAGTAACTAATAAAAAATAGATTCCATGACAAAAAAAGTCTAAACTCCAAGTCAATAAAATGATCAACCGAGATGTAAACTAACAACCACCAATCACGACAGTGGTTATCACGACTGCCTGTCTGTTTTCTACATAGAACTTTGCACAGATGTGCGGCTGTTCAGGTCGCCACACTCCACTCCTTGTAGCACACAAAGCAAGAGAAGAAAGTAGAAGAAATGCATAATAGAGACAGTAAACAGAGGTGTGAGACAAAGGAATAGTAATAACGAAGAACAAAAGTTTCATTGGAAATCATAAGTCACAAGGAATGGATGCATTTGCACGAGCCATTGAGAACTATTTTGAGCCATATCACCAATTGTTTCCAACCATTGGTTTTTACCGTCCCGAGGACTCCAACCAGTGTGGAAGTCTACTCCTTCCTACGTAGCTGGCTTAAACTAAGTGTTGTAGATTTCATTGACTGGTGCCATGTTTTGGTTTGGTCACCACTGCTTCTTTTGCAGTCTGACCTTATGTCAGCTAACATTACCTATCGGTCAGGAAGGCGATGACTAGGCATGTATAACACATGTCCTAATCATTTCAGTCGATGTAACTTCACAGCCTCGTCGACTGATTTCCCCTCCCTATCTAGCACTCGACCGACGCCTAACCTCAACATTGCTCATCCTATTATACCAACTAACATGGAAGATAGAACGCAGGTACCTATGATCAGAGACAGCAAATCTTTTCTTGTCTTCCACTCTTAATGGCCAGGTCTCACAGCCGTAAAGGAGGAACAGAGCGGACTGCTGAGCAGTACACGCGCCCTTTGGTCGATAGTGGTTATCACGAAATACAACTATACTATTCATGGACTTCCAATCCGTTCATTTCATACAAGAAACTTGCGCTGGATAAGTTGTCTAGAAGGACAACGAAAACTTACAGCACATAACTAAATCAAAGTCATCCATCCACATGAGTTGGCAATTTTCTCCATTATTTTACAATCAATTTAAGTTAGGCTGTATGAATGACTTCGAGTTTGCTTTCAAACCGCTTCAACGAGAAACAACTCTCCCGATTGTTGTGTGGCCGTCTAACCTGCTAGACCTGAGCTTTGGCGACACTACTACGTGTTGACTCTTTAGCCAGCCAACCTAATCTGGTGTCCAGGCTACTCTTAGTACCCCACTCTGCTCGACTAGAGAAAGGCGAATATAACCCTTAGTGGTGTAATATATAAAATAAAAGTCACTTAGTGTGACTGATAAACAATAAAGGCGTATACAAACGCAATGTAAACTTCTTGAAACAGACGCTCTATACTTCTAAACTACAACCTAAAATATTGGACAACAACTTTAGGAATTATCCCACATAACAGCTTACTGAAGCGAACTAAAACATACTTTCCATTACATTAATTGAATATATCTAGAACAGTAGTACAAGTAAGAAGTTATCAGGTTGGCGGTGGTTAGCAGCAATGGATTTGATACTACTCGTCAGCTTGATGTGTATCTGAATATCCAGTGGACCGAGAGAATTCCACAGCCAAGCTACCACCCCCGTCAGCTAAAATGACATCATATCCATTTGAAGGTATTTTCAACGGGGAGTTTCTATGAGGGTGTTACAATATGTCAACAGATTAACACAGTTTAATTGAATTTGAGATTTTCCCGTCGATTGATTGAACCGAAGTGGTCGGTCTCAGAGGTTGACATGTCGGCTTCTTGTGCAGACGATGTCTGGGCATGTAATTAGTTGTTTGGTGGATGGTTACTGATTACATGCCCAGACATCGTCGAAGCATCTGGTGACTAGCAGTGGAATCCAAGATGTGAATTTCGGTTGTCCTATTTAGGACTCGTTAACTGGATGATCCTGCATTCCCCTGGGAGTCAGTGATGGATGTTCCAACTGAGGCTCGAACTCAGTGGTCAAAGTTTCAAACCCCAAAGCGGGTTATCTACTAAACCAATCGGGCAATGAGAGCCACCTTAATCCCCAATTAACTTCTAATTACTTGTCCAGGCATCGTCGAAGCATCTACATAAGAAGCCGAGATGTCAACCTGAGACCGAGCACTTCAGTCCAATCAATCGACGGGAAAATCTCGCATTCAATTAAATAACTAATATGACCCGTTGCACAAGAGGTGGCTCTCGTGGCCCAAGTGGTCTAGCGGATAACGCTTTGGCGTTTGAAACTATGGGCACTGGATTTCAGCCTAGGTGGGAGCATCATCACTCACTGAGAAATGCAGGTACAACCAGATGACGAGTCTCAAATAGGACGAAATGCGCATCCTGGATTCCACTGCTAGTCATCATTCACCAATTAAAGATTAACACAGTATTTAAAAATCAAAACGAAAACTATTCACAACCGTAACAGGCTCCTTATTATTATTAGCTCGTGAATCTTGTTAAGTACACATGAATGTGAAATCTAGTAATTTTAAGGATTTCAAACGTTTCTTCTAAAACAACAAATAATTTACATAGCCAGGTGAATTATGTAAATGAAGCTTATTTTCACTTAATCCAATAGGATTCCTTCACTTATAACATAAACATTGAGAGAAACTTCAAGTTTGGTTACGAATTGACAGCAAAGTTAGAGAACCATTGAGAACTAGAAGAAATTATTGGACAGTACTGTTCCGTCATGGGTTAGAAACACACACTTCACAAATATACACCCATGACTCCAACATAGATCGAACCTAGTGTTTTCACAGATCACGATGTGGGGGTTTGTCGACCACTCAATCACTTGGACGTATTCATTTCTATAGCCCCATAAATTCAAACGTCTGTTAATATTAATGAGATGAAGAGAGCCATCATAGGTGTATATCTGTCATAACACCCAACTTGGTGGACCTAGCCGGTCACGACTACTCACTAGAACTTCGGGTAACTATACTGGATCCCGTAGTAGTCAATCAGTCACTAATAAGCACTAGATTAGTTTTCGAGAGTTGTTTTACAACTATGGAGCAAGAGAGAAATCAGTCTCAGGACTAAAATTCGGGTCTACCAAGCTTCCATACGACCCGTTCTCCTGTATGGCTGTGAAACCTGGCCTCTTCGCGCGGAAGATTTACGCAGACTCGAGGTATTAGACCATTGGTGTCTCAGGTACATTCTGCATGTTCGTTGGCAGGACAAACTCTCCAACGAAGAAGTGCGTCGTCGTTGCTATAACATCAACCAAATTCCAGTACTGGTCCAACAACGCCGCCTTCGGTGGTTTGGCCATGTTCTGCGCCGACCAGATGACGATCTGGTCAAATCAGTTCTAAATCCCTCGCCATTACCATCTTGGCGATGTCGCAGGGGCGGACAGCTGAAGACATGGCTTGGTACAATCAAGGCAGATATGGAGTGCCTGGGGCTACAAACCGTCTACGGACTCCGTATGTGGAACAAGAATTGGATATCCCTATCGCAAAACCTTGCTTCAGATCGCCGCGCCTGGGCAGCGATGATTCGAGACGTTCATGAACCCGGCTCATCCTTTCGTAGGAGATAGCCGAAGTAAAGTAAAAGTAAGTAAGTTTTACAACTAACTGACTGACTGGTTTCAACATAGAACTTTGCCACACTCCCTCCCTCCATGTAGCACACAAAGTAAGAGAAGAGAGTAAAGATATATATATATTCAAAGGAGACATAATTAAACACAAGTGTGAGTGAAGCAAAAGGAATATATTTATATGGAAGAACAATATAATTTTACTGGATATTATAAATCACAAAGATCGCGTCCCAGTGGCTCAATGGTCTACGAGCTCGCCTTGTAACCAGAAGGTCCTGGGTTGGAACTCCGCTGGATGTGTAATGATGAAGAACCCCAAAATAGGACGAAACAGCTGCCCAGTACTCCCAGGTTTTCCAGTGGTTCTCTAAGTGATGTCATCTCATGGTGAAATCCTCCATAAAATCACAAGGAGTGAATGCATCTGAGCTTTCAAACAGTTAACTAAATTGAAGGCTGAAATGAGAACCTGTGCCACGATGGGATACGAAATAGAGATCTCCGGCTTATACATACTAGCTTAGCACTCCAGAAGCTGCTAGTTTTTTTAACTGGTGTGAATTCTGCCAAGACCGAGACTTACTTTTCAATTTTTTTAAAACGTTTGCCAACCCGGGATCGTTACGGACAGTCTCGCCATCAATTAATTACCTGCTTACATCTTTTTCCAATGCTATATGGTTGGGAGTGACAACAGAAGACCTAGCTAGGCATCCACTGTGATGACACAATCAACAGTAGTGTATCATTTCTCCGATAGTTGGATATCATCTGTAACCATTGTAATGAGATAAAGAACTGAGTTACCGGTTGGGTCTCGTCTCACAGCGCCAATGGTTAAAGTGCTGGAGTAGTAATTCGCTGGCCAAAACTATTTCAGATAGTGTCAACTCACATATAATCTTCATTTATAGCATAAAAGCCCAAATTATTGTCCCCGACTTTAAAGTAAAAAACTGATTGTTAAATAAAATAATTTTGTTACATTAAATAAATGAAGGCTTTTCCCTAATGAATACAGAAATATGTAAAGCGAAATCCTACAATAAAACCACTTCCACAAAGTAAAAAGAAGACGAAAAAATACATACCTCGCCAAGTTGACTAAGACCTCGTACACTGTCTCGTATTGATTTAGTGACAGGTTTAGGTGTTGTAACCACCTCTGACGGAGCAGTAGTAGTAGTAGCGGTAGTAGCAGGTGATGATGGTGGCGGTGGGGCTTTCTTTTTAGGTGGATCTTGACGTTTCGGTGATGCTGCAGCACGTTTACGTGTCATTGTTTGACTAGGAGTTTGTTCTTCAGGCTTAGACGTATCCACTGCTGGAGATCCAGAACGAATACGAGGAGTTTGAGCTCCCGCTGGACGCCGACGTCTTTTTTTACTGGTAATCTCCTCTTCACTATCTTTAGATGTGACAGTAGGTTCTAAATCTCCCGTTTCAACAGGTGCTTCCAAAGCGACAACCGGTTCAGACATGACGATATCCGTTTCCGGTTCTGGTGGACTTTCCACGACTTCTTTCACTTCAGCTTCTTTTGCTAATGCGGCGGCCGCTTCAGCAGCTGCTGCAGTGTCACCTTCAGAGAGGATAACAGATGAATCTTTTAAGAGAGCTTCTGGCCTTTTAGTTTCTTCCTCATCTTCTTGGGCTAAAGCGACTGCCAGGAGAGCTTCTTCCTTGCCAGCCAAAGCCGCAGCAGTGTCGATGACGCCGTATGCACTGAAGCGTTTATGTCTGTTAGAGTCCCGTGTAGACATACGCATTGTTGCTGGAGGAGGAGCATGAGGAGGTGGGATAGTCACACTCTTTATTAGTTTAGTGGTCTCTGCGGCTTCTGCTTCTGCCTCTGCAGCCCTAAAGGAGGACATATGTGAAAATAAAGCAATTCAGTTATTATACTAATACACAAACCCAAAATAACGGCCGATATATACGTATATATATAAAGGTAAGTGATATCATAATTTTCATAGGACTATGTAATTAGGACAACATCCAGGAAAAAAATCTAAAAATTGCTTATCAGTCGAGTGTCGAGTTCAGTGTGATACATACACACAATGGTGGAACTACTGCAGCATTGTTTTCACTTGGTACACTAAGGGTATGTTACAAGTATGCGTATTTGCATAGTCTAGTTACATTTCACATAATTAGTTTCAGTCATCGAGACATTGAAGACTGTAGGACGCAGCCTTTGTATAGATAATTTTTTCTTCAATTAGGTCACAATGGAAATAATTACTACGAAAAGAATAAACACTACTCTAAGAACATGTCACCTACTTCTTAGCTACACTTTGAGCAGTTGGAGGACGACCACGTCGGTTTGGTGTCGAAGGGGTTGAAGATGGAGCTGGAGACGGAGTTGGTGTTGCTGGAGTTGCTGGCTTAGATTGTGCAGCTACATTTGCAACTATATATGCAGTTCCCGAGGTACTGGTAGACGGTTTGATAATAAAATCGGAGGCGCGTAATGGACGTTGAGTTATAGTAAGAATACTGTTTTTTGGATTTTCTTGCGATGTAGAAACATTTTTGGCACGATTGCCTTTGGTCTCAGTAGGTGAAGTGGTGGTGGTTATGGCACGACTAAGCAAACCTGGACGTCGAGTACCTGCAGGTTGTTTAGCCGGTAATTTTGTTATAACAGGACTCTGTTGTTTGGCTGGCATTGTGGGATGACTGCTAGGTATAGGCTCTGGCAGTGGAGTATTCTCTGTATCACTTTCGTCATATTCATCTATAAAAACAAAGCAGAACACATGAAAGATTCAAGAATCTTAGGTTTGTAACAAGTGATATATGCAGTCGGAATCCGCAAACACTTCTAGATGCCTTCATCATTTAACTTATTTTTTTTCAATGCTTACCTTCATAATTGCTTTTGGAAGTAGCGTCAGGATTCACAGTCTGTAGGATGGAAGTTGAAGTAGAAGAATTAGTTGTTGTTCCACCAACTGGTATCAACTCTCCATCTGGTTGTCTAGCAGCTGTCCTCATCACTTCGTATACAACAGTTTTTCCATGACGTAGAGCTTGGCCGACAACATTAATTAGCCTACTGGGAGGTTCATCTGGCAGTAAAGTTAAATTGGCAGCTGCAGCTAAAGCTTCGCGTTCGGCAACAGACGCCTGAGAAGCTTCAGTTGATATACCCTTCTTCGATTTTTTAGGTGAAGTGACGTTGGCTTTCGAAGTACCACCAACACCAGCACAATCTCTTTTTTCTGAAACTTCATTCATTTGATCTGCAGAGACATTTTCACCTTTAGTGTAACCAGTATCTTCTTCTTCGTCATCCTCTTCACCTGTATCTAAATCGCTATCATCACTGACAGCGCCTTCATCTTCGCTGACATCCGCATGAGTATACTTCTCAGAAGATTCATCTTCACAATCATCGTCCAACATTTTTGGAGCTAAGAAATCTTCAGCAATCCGTCGAGCCTGTGGGTAAAAATGCATAAAAATGAATTCCGTAGTTGCTGGTGATTTATTCAAATGAAACACTCAAAGAAGGACTCGCTCGCTAACCTTCGTGAGCTATTAAGCAGAAACGGATATGTGATAAAATTTCTAGAAAAGTACATGAACTCAGCAAGTTAACAACAACTGAAGGTAGCAGCTAGTCTTTTTCTAAGATTGGAAATTCACAGAGGATGTTAACAGTGAGACTTTATCACGACGTCTGATAAGCGTCTCTTTAAGGGGGTAAAGACAAACCGTACTGTTTCGCCTCTTCCATGTGTATTTACCGTTGTTTAACCGTTTCGGCGAAGCTAGTTACTTCAAGCGTATGATGAGACAAGTTTATCATCGAATTTGGTTTGGCAAAGACCCGAATAAAGCTATACACACATAGCTCAGTACTAGCTTATCTCATGTCAATACTGGACAGCAAGTTGACTTTGACACAGCTTTAAAAATTATCGTATTTCACCCAACCTTTTCCATGTTTTACGAGTATAACTTTTATATACATACAGCAGAGGCAATCGGAATACCTCTTAACAAACTAAATTTGTGTGTGCGTGTGTTGAAAAAGAATTTGTACAGCTCCATTTCCTACCTTGGTCAACTGTGGTGAGAGCTGTCTACTAGCCAAAATTGGTGGACAGTATTTTACGTCAATGTTTACCCGACCGAAAGCTGCTACCTTGACGTGGTGGTCGGGCTTGAACACCGCAATGACCTAATAAAACTATACTGGCTGAAACTCATGTCTCTTGAGGTCCTACCATGCCACGCAGGTTGTTTGGATAGCGGTTAAACAAAAAGCAGCTACCCAATCCACCACTATGATTCAAACAAATTCACAAAATATCATGCCGGGTCGGCCGTGGCCCGGATTAACAACGACCGCGCTTCCTGCTGCCGTGTCACAGGGCAGGAGTGATAAATATGCTACGGAGACACACCAAACAATAAAGAACGAACAAAAACAGACCGCGTGTGACCGGCCTCAAGCAGTTGTCCCCTGGGCTCTGCGGTCACGCAACCAACTTCCACGGTGTGAGCAGCCGGGAAGTAACAATCCCCCTCACAATCTGAAATGCACACGAAACCTCTCTAATCCTCACTCATCTTTGTCTTCATCTTCATCTATATTATCTTGCCTTTCTTCCACTGATACAACTCCTCTACTTGATGGCTCCCGACTTCATCTTCAAAATGTGTCCACTGTGTGTCAATGTTTATGTCCCCAATATTGGTTGTGAGAAAAATATGAACAAAGACTGATTCAACAGTCAACCACATCAGACTTTGCGTAGGCGGATACAGTTAGCATATAGATGATCTGACATGCAGGAAACAGCCACAATGAGATGCTAGGTTAACTTTCAGTGAGAAACAACCGCCAATCAGAAGACTGTGTTTTTCTGCTAACACTAATCTGCAATTAATTAATGTACATCAAAATCTATAAAAAATATGTGTTGATTTCCTTAATAAACGATCTGTTGCCTGACTGCCCCTTGTCTTGTGTTGTTACACAAATAAGTAGTATGTATTATAGGTTCATGATGAGGAACTAATTGTATGTAAAAAGGAAGACAATTCTTTGTTCCATTTGCTGTTGTTTCAAAATGTGTAAATGGAAATTTTCAAAAGCATTTACTTGTATTTATGTATTTATTTATATGTAGAATAATTATTATCAATCAGGACTAATAAAATTTAATTTATTGTTCTATTTTATTATGAGATTGTAACTTACCAAAATACTTTTACAATGTGTAAAAGGTTTCGCTATCTCAACACTTCGATTGACAGAGTGTAAGACAAGCGTTTCAATAACGCATATTGTATCACGTTTTGGTAAGCCTTTCTTGTAGAATCCAGCGATATCATCTTCCCATTTTGAATAGATCTACAAAGAACACAAACAGACATAATAGCCACCAATATATATGGACCGAAAGTCAAAGACTTCGTGGACTGATTCAACATCTCAACTTTACAACATTTCTAACCATATGGTTCCACTCAGCGCGCGGAATACAACAACCAAGAACAAAAGCATCAGCCATTAATTTCTGTTTTAAGCAGTTGTCTCACAGCTACAGTTTAGAAATAGGGAGTGAAGTGGTAGAGCACGTTGACTGCTTCATTTATTCGGGAAGTACCATCGGTCAACGCCAACGGGTTGATCTCTGACGAAGCCTTAGCACGGATACAGAGGGCTAGTTTCGCATATGCGAGTTTACACCGTCTCTGGCTTAGTAGACGTGATATCCGGCTGGCTATCGACCAAAGGGCAGGTGGACTGCTTTTATGGTGGTGAGACCTGGTCATTGAGAGTGGAAGACATGAAAATGTCAGCTAGCCGCCTTTGATCATAGGTGCCTGTGTTCTATCTCCCCTGTTAACTTGTATAATACGGTGAGCAATATTGAGGTCAGGTGTCGAGTTCTACGTTAGGAGGGGAAATCAATCGACGCAGCTGTGAAATTACATCGACTGAGATGGTTAGGACATTTGCTACGTTTACGTAGTCATCGCCTTTCTCGACCGATAGGCCATGTTAGCCGACATAGGGTCAGACTGGAAAAAAGCTAGCGGCGGTCAAACCAAAACATGGCTTTACTAGTCAATGAAATTCACAACGGTTGGTTGAGGTCCTCGGGACGGTAAAAACCAATGCAGGCTGGGGACATTTGGTGATATTGTTCAAAATCATTCTCAATGGCGCAGATGCATCCACTCCTTGTGACTTAGGATTTACAATAAAACTATATTGTTCTTTGTTATATATTTTTTATTTTATTTTTGATTGCAGCTTGATTCCACCTGTATTTTTTGTGCAAGTATGGAATTTTCAGCATGGATATTGGTAGCCCGAATTTCGCAGGCCGACCATTGATATCAGGTGTGCGTCGGCAGTGGATCGAACCCTAGACCATGTGCATAGTCGGTGAGAGTTCTAACCACTGTGCCACGTTTGTTTCACACCTCTGTTTACTGTCTCTATTATGCATTTCTTCTACTTTTTTTCTCTTGCTTTGTGTGCTACAAGGAGTGGAGTGTGGCGACTTGAACAGCCGCACATATGTGCAAAGTTCTATGTCGAAAACAAACAGACAGACAGCTACAAATCTGGGACAGCCGGATTGTTGCGTCCAGTATGTCTACTCTTCAGTGATACTAAAAATGATACACAAAATGTATGTATGTCATTGGAGACTTCATTATTAATTAATCCAACGAAGCCGACATGACTTCTCAAAGAAGTAAGGTGGTTGATACATGCATGCATGTATTGCCTTTATTTCCTCATCCTTGAAATGATGTAGTCAAACATCTCTGTCGACACACGCCTAAATGCCACTAATAAGTAAGAACATATGACCTTATGTCTTATACATGTATATAGTCTAGAACAATTCAAACAACAACAACAATAATAATCCGTTGATATGCATGAACTCTAATCCAGGTCAAAAATCTATCTAATTTCTTCAAGTTTGTGAATGTTAAGACATTTTAGAGCTTTTATTTGATTACCACCCATCTACCTACCCACGCCCATAAACAACTTAGTACAACACATAATATAAGGCAGCCTATAAAAAAAGCTTATCATCAAGTATCGTTTTTGATAATTCGAAGGCTGATAATAATATTAAGGCTAAGCTAGCCCCAGCCAGCCGCATTTACTATCACTAGACAATCCCGATACACTTTATGACTAAAGGATTTCTATGAAGGCCTATATATGCTTCAGAATCCGGTAGAGTCCATGGATAGATAGATGGGACAGCGGTCAGTTGTCTACAAATGCTCTTCATGTAGCCATACATGTTGCTTAACAATAGTAAATACGGTTGAAACGCTTATTAGACAACCTCTTCGTAGAGTTGAGAAGCATGTTTTTAACTTACACAAAATGAATGATGAAAAAAGGTTGTTGTTTTTTTTACCGTGGATTAAATAAGAGTAATGGAATCATGGAGTAAAATTTGGTAAAGACATGTTTTTACACCTACTAAAGCAGATAGATTATTCTTTGCCGATTGAGCTGCATTGATAGTCTCCTCGTTCGGCTCTTCAACAAAATCTTTCCCATTAATTGTCTTCAAGTATGGACATAGATAAGCCAACGATTGTGGTGACAGAAGCTGCAGTTCACGTTTTCAAAACAGAAAAAGATAAAATCGACTAAATTATCATTCGTTTAGATGAACACATAAATAAATAAATAAGAAAAATCTATGAAAACAGAGGATCTGTAGTGAACTGGCAAAGTGTTAACGTTTTGTAGTTGGTACACCACTGTTATTTTTTCCTTCACGTTCCCCAGAGGAACATAGGGCTTCAAGCTAGTGTTTCGAAGTTTCTGTAGCAGTGTTTATTTTACAGGATGGAGTTGCTGGTCTGCCTCATGCCCAACCTTTCCTCTTTACCAGCTTTTATTGCTGGCTTAGAGAAGTAAAGGAGTGCGTCGGTGGCCGGGGATCGAACCTCGGACCATGTGCATGGTCGGCGAGCGTGCTAACCGCTACGCCAACGACGCTGCTTACCACCGACATAATTAGATCAAAGCTACGGCTAGCAAGTGTTAAGGTGTATGACGACGACTATCCTTAAAGACTGACGATAAACACACTGAATCTCTTTGGTTTACTACTTGATCAGAAGTTAAATGCTTGTAGCTCCTCCACTTAGACAGGGACATACACAATACAAGCGTAAATACGTAAACCAATTCATGTGTGTGAAGCCACTGGAAGCAACCATTGTGAAATGACTGCAATTAAACATACTAGTGTGACATTTGCTATTGGTGACCAACATTTCAGGTCAAAAAATGCTGCAGCAGTAAAGGCATTTATTCCACAAATCTGAATTTAGTTTATGTTGTGTTCTGGAAATAATCTTATTGGACAACTTTTCATTCTATCGTTTAACCTGGGGCCAACCGTCACGTCAACCAATCAGAACGGTTGATTGCCCGCTGATCTAACCGACTTTTGATGTGGTTCACAGAAATGTATAAATAGGATGCATTATTCTTTAATAAATATAGTTTGTCCCCCCCCAATTCTCGAATCTTCTACCGCTACAGAAGTGGTTCAAAAAAGTGTTCAACATTTTGCCTCTGAATTGTAAGATAACAAGAATTTCCGTTTATAATAATACATTCATTGTTAGCAGACGGTGAATAGTAAAACCAGTTCATTTTCATGTTGATGTGATTTTGTGTAGTCTTGCTGCCCCTCCCACCCCAAACACACACAGAACATAAGGTGATGTATATATTGTTCCAAATGCGATTCAGAAATAGTCACAGGTTCAATCGCGAGCTGATATCAAGAAGGCACTTGGAGTCCTAATGAGAAGTCGTAGCCAGTGGGGTCCACCAAGTCAAGCAAGAAATCAGCTGATCGCCTTATGCCACTGGTTGGTGGTAGCACTAAATATATAGCGAAATGACAGAAGCTGAGATCCATGAGTCAATAATGGGTTAGGTTCCAGTGGGTGACTGGTCTACTGACTCGCCTTGTAACCAAAAGGTTAAAGGTTAAAATACCGGTGCGTACGTATTGCTGAAAAGTCCCGGAACTAGGACGAAGCAGTTGTCCAGTACTCAATGGTATTCCAATAGTTCTCTAACAGATGTTAGCGTTGATGATGAAATCCTACAGCCAATCAAATCAAATTGCTGCAAACCAACACACTTGATAATGAAAGATGACTAACGGATGGAATTCATTCACAAGATGGCGAAACACTACAATAAACAAGTTCCTAGATGAATTGAATAAAAATCAAGAATTACACCTATCACACAGGCATATCAACATACCTATGAGGTATCAAATGATTATGAAAACACATGAACTAAGCAAGCATGACTTTGTGAAATAAAATTCTCCACTTACAGAGGCTAGTTCAGGATCCAAATCTAAGGATACAAGTCTGGGAAATTGTTCAATAAGTGGTGGTTCCACTGTAGTACCCTGTTGGGATGGTCGCAGTAAGTTGGGATTACCAGTAAGATTTAAACGACGCAGTTTAGGCAGGTGCAAACATCGTGGAAAAGCATAGAGTGCATTTCCGGATAGATTCAATTCTACTAAATTGACACACTGGTTCAAGTGAACCGGTAACAATCCTGTAAAACCACAACCACTCAAACTGGAGAGAAAAAAGGAAGAGAAAATATGCGAGTGAATGGGATCAACATATAAATTTAGTTGAGGAAAAAAATGAAAAGGTGTAGAAACATCACATGAGGACTAAGTTGCATTAGTTGGAATCTAAAAGTAACCCCTGAAATATCCACGATACTGATATGATCTTATTAAAGGGCCACTACTGACTACGTGTATCGAGGTGTAATTAGGCGATGAATCTTTGTAGTGACAGCAGAACCCAACTTTAGTAGTTTATGATGTTCAGTAAATTCCCACTTAATAAACAGTAGAGACGTAGTTCCCTATAGTTTCATCCGTATGTCAACAACAATTAACCAAGCTAACAAGAGGCATCCATTTGTACAAAGAAGTTGTATGCACCGATAAAGACCTATTGTGATCATTACTCACGTGTATACTTTTTTGGATTCAACAATCATGTGTAGACTAAGTGGTGATGCTCAGGAGAATCACGCTCGTGAAGATCATTCAGACTTTAGGTCAGGAATAGGGTGTATTGATCACATCTGAACCCTTGGACAGATTCTGTAGCAGCATAAGCACAATTACCGGTGTCCAGCAATTGCCGTATTTTTTTACCCAAAGGTGGCATTTAGTCTTATCAACAGAGAGGTGGTGGTGTGGAATTGTTTAACAATGAAGGGAGTGCTAAAAGTTGTCATATGAAGTGCCGGCAACTAGCGATGTCCGTCGGGGATGCTCATCATCCGCATTTTCACATGATTTCATCATAGATGCACTACTACTAGTGGAATTGATCCAAACTGACTTCATATCGACTTAGGGATTGACTTGTTACGCGCAACATGTAACATTAACTTGAAAATCTGCCCCAGCCAATCAGCTAACGTCAAAGGATTTTATGCACTTAGTAGATGATAAGTGTAGAGTGAACTTAATACTAAATGACTGAAGGCAATCATCAGGATGCATTGCACCTAGGCTTCGTGCTTGTCAGGATTCAGCTACCGCCTTGAAGGAAATCGTGTCCCTTTTGTGATCCGAACCCGCGTCACCCAGTGCCACCTGCAGTCAGAGACGTTACCACTTAGTTATTCGGGTTCGCGATTGACCTCCTGTAGGACTGTACTGGATACTTTTGATTGGACACTAGTTGGTGACTAGTGTAATGTGTGTCTAGTCCTTTCTTTGTTTCCTGCAGACTGAATTCTACCAGTCAAGTTTGTGATGTGGCCACTATTCTAGGTAGCTCGCCATCACGGTGCACATTCATTTGGTGGATATTAGCAATGGTGGTCGCATTACAACTTGACTGATAGAATTCAGTCTGCACCAATGAGAGGACTAGACACATTACACTAGTTACTAGTGTCAAATCAAAATACCCACTACAGTCCTACAGGAGATCAAACGCGAGCCCGAATAGCTCTGAGGTAACGTCTCTGATTGCAGGTGGAACTGGGTGATGCGGGTTCGAATCCCAGAAGGGGTATGAATTCCTTCAAGGTCTGTCTGTCTGCTTTCGACATAGAACTTTGCACATATGTGCGGAAGTTCAAGTCGCCACACTCCACTCCTTGTAGCACACAAAGTAAGAGAAGAAAGTACAAGAAAGGCATAATAAAGACAGTAAACAGAGGTGTGAGACAAAGGAATAGTAGTAACGAAGAACAACATAGTCATAAGTCACAGGGAGTGGATGCATCTGCACCAGCCATTGAGAACGATTTTGAGCCATATCACCAATTGTTTCCAACCATTTGTTTTTGCCGTCCCGAGGACACCAACCTGGAAGTCTACACCTTCCTACATGGCTTAGAGTAACTGTTGTAGATTTCATTGACTGGTGAAGCCATGTTTTTGTTTGACCTCCACTAGCTTTTTTCCAGCCTGACCCTATATCCGCTAACATTGCTCGTCGAGGAAGGCGATGACTAGGCGTGCATACGTAACACATGTCCTAACCATCTCAGTCTTTGTAACTTCATAACTTCGTCGATTGATTTCCCCTGTTTACCTAGCACTCGACGCCTAACCTCAATATTGCTCACCTTATTATGCCACTTTACACGGGAGATGGTACGCAGGCACCTATGATCAAAGACAGCTAATCTTTTCTTGTCTTCCGCTCTCAATGGCCAGGTCTCACTCACGGAACTGAGTGGTGAGCAGTACACCCCCCCTTTGGTCGATAGTCGAATATCTCGTCTACGCCAGAGACGGCGTAAACTCGCATATGCGAAACGAGCCCCCTGTATCCGTGCTGAGATTTCGTCAGAGATCAACCCGTTGGCGTTGGCTGATGGTACTTCCAAAATAAGTGAAGCGGTCAACGCGCTCTACCACTTCACTTCCTATTTCTAAACTAGGAGTTAGTCAGTGTAGTCCAGTCCTGTAACATCATCTTGAATTTGGCGGGAGCGAATCGCATGCCAAACATTCGTAGATTGCTGCTCAAGGTGTTCAGAAGACTCTGCATTTTGTCAGCGTCTTCGCCTAGGAGGACTATATTGTCTGCATATCCCAAGTCGACGAGATTATTCCCTGGTAGCAAGTCAATCCCTGAATCGCTGACGTCACTTAGGGTTAAGTCCATTAGTACATCTATGATGAAGTTGAAGGTTGCAGATACGTCTTGCTGACTGGTGAGTGCCAACTAGCACGAAACCTAGGTCAAGCAAGGTTTCCTGTGGCTGATTGCCTCCAACCCTCTAATATCATCAAATCAATATGCACGGTGATAGCGAACTACCTAGAATGGTGGCCACATTACAACCTGAGTGATAGAATTCAGTGTGCACGAAACAAAGAAAGGACTAGACATACATTACACTAGTCACCAACTAGTGTCCAATCAAAAGAACTTAATACTTTTTCCAGTGAACATCGGTAAACTCATTCATTCATTCACTAATTAATGAACCATTGACCATATGTGAAAATTCCAAAATCAAGGGTAACGCTAGTTAATAGTCATGGAATTAATATCAACATGCAACAACGCGTAAATTTGATAATACTAGTGAACAGTCATGTAACTGAGGTGTTTGAAATATTGTCCTACAAGATGACATTCGTGAATTCGACCGAAAAAAAAACAAAAAATAAACTAGAACTGCTGACAGTTTCTAGGATACAATAACCTACTAGTGTTTGCTTTATTTCCCTCCTTTGATGAAGAAAAAAAGTGCCGCAGTATCAACAAATTCAAAAATACAGTAATTAATATGACGATAGAAAACAAAAATGATATACGGGTGTACTCTATTTACTCACTTTAGAATTCTAACCTTCTTTAAAGAATCAGTACCGGTTGAAACAAATATTGTAATATCATCAACAACATTATTGCACTCTTTACACGAGAGGACAAGAGATTCGCATTTAGCTGAAGGGGAGAAAAATAAAATGGGAATCACAAATATGCAATATAACACTTTTATGTGATATGTGACCACTGAAGGAGAAATGGAATCGACGATTAAACTTGTGAACCCCCACAAGTGATCTAGAGATTGAACTATGAGATCAACCAAGCTGGTAACTCTCGTCTTTAATCCACCTAAACCCAGCTGTCGTACCACTAATGGCATTTAACCTACTTCATATAATCATAATAGCTATTGTATTTTAATCCATAAACGATCTGATAAAGTCGGGGGTGAGTACATTCACATCTTCTTCTCGAAATGCTCTCATGCGGTCAAGCGTTCATAAACTCCGTCATTTAAGTCCTATTGATCACTAACTTCACACCATGTGGATATTGCTGACAATAGTGAAAGGGTGAACTTGAACAACTAGAGCTTACAACCGGGCTGATGGACAAGTTGGTCTACCTTGGGGAGCTGGAAAAGCCTTGATTCCAAACCTATGGCGTACATGGGCTCCAGAATCCAGAAGGATTAAATAACGTGTGAAACTATTTTGGACGCTGTAAACCATGGGAACGCAGTTTCTGGCGGTGCTGTTCCACTACCTTGCGGACTAGGTTTTGAGTTGAAGTTTCGGGGAAGGTTGGTTCTTTAAAGCAGCTCTGACTCGGTCTAGACATCCGAGCAATATCCCAGACCTTATAAAAACTGTGAGATTTTCTGTGTTGTATCACATGGTGCCCATAATGTGCCCAGTTCGTTTCAACAATGATAATAATACAATTGTACAAGTAAAATAGATAGAAGACCAGTCAGTGACTTGAACAAATGACAAGCAAGTTGATAAGTACCCAATACATGCCTACGATAGGTCAGTCGCGAGCCCAAATAGCTCGGCGGTCGATGCGGGTTCTAATCTCAGAAGGGACGTGAGTTCCTTCAAGACTGTAAATACTCCTTCTTCACTGACTGATGAGTGCCAACAAGCACGGAACCTAGGTGTAAGGCTTCCTGATGATTGCTGAACGCCTAATAGATATGAAGGACAACGGAAAATTCAAAGGCCAAATACAAATAATGAAGATAAAGTTAGTGAATTGATGTGTTTTGCTGTACTCTCCTAAATTTTGACAAGCACAAAAAGTACAACTTAAGCGTTTGACTAAAAAGTACTCGTAAAAGATGACTCTATGGCACATACCTGAAAGAGCATCTACATCTGTACCTCTAGGACTCATATCACAACCAGAATCAGGAGAATCACTTCCATCTAGAGGATCAGATAAAAGTTGTTCCGCTGCGGAAAGATCAAGTTCAGGGAGTTGATCAGAACAGTAGAATCGATAACCACCACCACCAATCGGTCTAAAAACCAAACGGGAATTAAAACTGTTAAATCGACCACAGTAGCAGAAAACTAGAAAGCGGTAAGAACTTTCCACTTACACTTTATCCGATGATGGAGTATGCGTAAATAAACATCCCGAGTTTCTTACAACCTTCTTTGCCAATTCAGCTAATTCTCGTCTATGCGTAAGAAGACTTGGTAAACCTGAAGCCAAGTATGCAGCCGCTTCATTACATGCAACCTCGTAGGGAGTTAATACAGGTATAGGAGCAGATCGTGGTAATCCTGCAACACTGAGTGGTTGAATACCTCCTGGTGGACGTCCATAAAGTGCAGCTGACTCTCGAATGCTTTCAAGTCGTGGTTCATTGCATACAAGAGCTTGAATTTGATTGATATGATCAATGGATGAGTTACCAGTGGTATAATCCAACTGTCCTGCATTCTGATTTGTCAACTGCCTTGCTTGCTCCCAACAGGCGAGTTCAATATTTGTGCAATCAGCTTTCTGTTTGATTTCAAGCTGAGGTAAATCTGATAAAACATCAATCGCAGCAACGCGGATAGCCTCTTCTTCATTAGGTAACAACTAAAATAGAGATAATCATGTTAAAAAATAGCACCAAAAAATATCCCAATACAACATAAGGATGATGTAAGACAGTATTTTGAAAAAATTCCTGTTTAGCTCGTACAGTAAGATGAATAAAACCTTTCTAATACAGGATAACTCGCCAAAATTCCAAGTTAGCAGCAGAAAAAGTAAAATTAAAATTTGGTTTTCAAGGAAAAAGAACACGAACAATATTAACAAGTGTCGGTTTGCAAGGATTTGATTAGTTCCAGGTTTGATAACTAACTAGCTGACATCAGCAAGAGAATCGCCGGGAAACCAGTGAGTACTGGACAGATGCTTTATCCTAGTTTTGGAACTCCTCATTGGCACCCGTCAATCAGTACCCAAGCCTAAGACCTTCCGGATACAACGCAAGCTCGTAATCCATTCAGTGATTGGGACCCGATCCAATGACTCATGAATTCCAACCTTTGGCAATTCACAATATATAGCAATATATTATTTGCGTATACACACCACAGATCTCTTATCCAACAGATCAGCAAAAAAAATAAATAGTAGACGGGCTACAACTCCCTTTTGTACAAAGGACTGCCCCGATCACAGATACAGGTGGTGGTGGTTTTACACATTGGCATTTTGAAAACACCATTTACCACGACTGTAAGTAAGCCAATAGTCTAACTGACAACTAGTCAAATGCAAATGATAAGTAAAAGACTCTGATGATTGACACCGTATCTTTAGACACAGGATTTCATGTTACCTCACTGTCTCAAAACCCTACTCTGTAGGACGATCTACAGAATTCCACCAACCACGAACTGGCTCAAAACGAACTATGGTTCTTTGCAGTTAACAAATTATCGATATATATATATATATATATGGTATATATTTGTATCATTAAAAACAAAAAGAAAAGTGTGACTCAGCGTCCTCGTGCATATTTATGCATTAGTCAGCCATACATAATATATAGCAGTTAGAATTCCGTTTCCTGGAATAGACTTTCTCATGTATGTGAGGCTATTAGCCACATACAACATAATGCGTGAGGGTCAGAGAAACCATCCAGGTGCTTAGACAGAATCAGCTGTGATGCTATTTGAATTCGAGAACTACTGGGATGAAAGCCAGGTGTAGCATAAGAATGTACTCTCTTGGCGTACTAATGGAGAACCAGCTAGCTACCTAAACAAACAGAGCCATAAATTCACAATCACTGAAAAGCCTGAATTGCTGCTTTTACGATACGACAAGAAGTTGTGAGGGTTGTTGTACATTTTCCAAAATGAAATTTGACAACATCAATGAAGTGTGAAGTGCAGAGACTCAAGTGCTAAGACAATGACATCAGCTTAAGGCGCTTGACTTTCAAAATTTTTGTATTTCAGGTCCAAAAACCCACTGTTACATACCCTACGACCTAGACAACCTAGTAATACGACAATCACATTGCATGCACGGCACGGCTTAGTGTAAAAACTTGTGTCCGGTTGCCAGGTTGCATACTTGGATTATCACAACTAGTACAGAAAACGAAACTGTGATGGATTTGTCGTGGCCGCTTAAAACACAAAGCAAATAATATTAGGTTCGGAGACACTGTGACCACAGAGGAAAACATACATAGCCTGTAGATCAATTTACCAATATTTTATGCATAAATCACTGGATCAGAACAGTTACCTCATTATTTACTGAAGGCACAGATCTACAATACTGTAAACAAGTGGTCTGCCGCGCCTGCTAACGATAATGGTCAGCTTAACTGACTACAGCTTCTCATTAAAATGGAATGGAAGGAACTATATATTTATCAAAGAGAGAACACAATCCAATACACTGTCTATAACTCCTTTTTTACCACACATTGAAATTGAGTGAAGCAATCGAAAACTAAAATTACAATGCTTCCAAATTACAAGAAAAGTCAGTAAAATGCTTCCTTCGTCACTAGTACTAAAATATATAGTCAGTCAAGTCATGTACTTACCTTATATGTAGGATCACGTTTCACTATAGGCAGACCAGATACGTACTGTATACTGTAATTATAAAGGCAAAAGAAAGATATAAAAACAAAAGGGAATTACGCTGAACAATAAGATTTTTTTTTAAATGAATAAAGATAGTATTGATTGGTTTTTGAAAAAGAAAAATAGACTGAAATGCACTCAGTTAGTCAGACTACGTGATAGTCATCATATAGCCATCAATGCACTAATTGTTTTTTAACAAGCTGATTTTGCCCGGAGATGCATAGCACACAACAAGTCACTTAAGTACATCCCAACTGGTATTTCGGTATGTTTTTTTATGCCAAGAACAGATTTCCCATGCTCCAGGCTGAGACATACTTATTGTGTGAGGGCTGGTAATACTGTAACAACAGAAGACAAGGGTCAAGCAACAGATCGTTTATTATGGAAATTAACACGTATTTTATAGATTTTCATGTACATTATTATAGATTATTGTTAGCAGAAAAACGTAGTCTTCTGATTGGTTGTTTCTCACAGAAAGTTAACCCTGCATCTCTTTGTGGCTGTTTCTTGAATGTCAGATCATCTATGTGCTAACTGTATCCGAGCCTACGCAAAGCCTTTCTTCTCATTTTTCTCACGACCAATATTGAAGACCTAAACATTGACGTAAATTACTGTCCACCAATTTTGACTAACAGCCAGCTCTCACCACAATACTACTCAATTTGTTCTCAAGCCACAGCAGCTGAGGGGGGACTCAAACCTGAGGCAAATCAGCTGAAAGCCAAGTGCTTTAACCAATGAATCACATCCCCACGGTCTTTTGACATGCATGTATGCAAGTGTGTTATCTGTGGTTGTTTTGACAGTGAGCAATGACTCCCCTAAGTGTTCAACCATACTGTTACTTGACTTCTTCCGATTGAATATAATACCCGATCAAGGGTCATATTAATAAAAATTAAAATTAGGAATTAGAATGCCATAATAAACAGGGGGATGGATAAAACAAACAAAGTAGCATCATGATAACCAAGATTGGCATTGTGCAATTAGGGGTTAGAAATGTAGAAATAACAAAATAGACAGGATGTTTGGATAGAAACTAATGTGATGAATAATTGTTTATGCAATCAGGGATTAAATATGTAGAAATAGTAAAATGACAAAATAAACACTAAGTTCGGGTATGAAAATATGGTAGTGTAAACAGGGATTAAGAAAAACTTAAAATAACATAAACAATTATTCATCACATTAGTTTCTATCCAAACATCCTGTCTATTTTGTTACTGTTGTGAACTTTTCTTATAATACGTATCTAGTCATATTCATATCTCTACCGCTATTAACACTCTTTTTTTCCTTTATATGTTTAAGCCATTCCGGCTTCATTGTAAAATGAATAAAGCCTAAACTCTTGGTTCATTCGTCTTTTCAAGATTCAAAACCGTTCTCAATGGCTGGCGCAGATGCATCCACTCCCTGTGACTTATGATCTCCAATGAAACTGTTTTGTTATTCTTTATTACTCCTTTGTCTCACACCTTTGCTCACTGTCTCTATTATGCTTTTCTTGTACTTTCTTCTCTTGCTTCGCGTGCTACACGGAATGTGGCGACTTGAACTTCCGCACATTTGTGCAAAGTTCTATGTCGAAAACAGACAGACAGACAGACATTAGATACTGAAGCTAACAGTAGAACCACACTTACTTGCTTTCTGGAGGCATAAGTCGTGATTTATTCGACTGAAGTGCATTGTTTGTTGTACTCTGTTGACTTGAGGGTGTAGATGAACTAAGCGAACTTGAATTTTCAGCTAACACTGATGATAAAGTGTTAGCTGTTGAAGCAGCTGTACTTGACTGTTGAATTGCAGAAAGTCCACGAGACTCAAGCATAGCTAGCTGTGAACTAGCAACACGTCCTCCAACTGCTACAGTTGGTGGAGTTGTGCATGGAGGTTGAGTTGAGGGAGCAGAAACTTTTGGTTTATTGGTATTCTGTAAGTTGGTTTGATTCACTTGACGTTGACTATTTACATTTTGTTTCATCTGAGATTGTAGAGCTTGTTGTTGTTGTTGAAATTGTTGATTCTGTTGTCTTCTTTCTGTATTCAGCAGTGTTTGAGAACGTTCAACAGTCTCCTTTGCAAGGTGATATAGATCACGTTTATGAAAAAGTAGAGCGGGTTGAAACCGACAAATCTGAGCTGCAGCCTCATTTAAAGCAAGCTAAATATGACAAGGGGAAAAAAGAGACAGAATTATTAATAAACGATAAAGTTTCATAACACTGTCTCACGCTAATACTAATAAGCAATAACGAGACATCATTCAACTGAACAACCAATCGATGAAACCAGCACATATTAGGACGAAACTGACTACTTAGCTGGCTTTATCAAAATGAACTTTTAAATTTTATTTCGCTAACCTTTCCCTCTCTCTCTCTCTCTCTCTCTCTGCTTTCGACACAGAAATTCGCACCAGATGTGCGGCAGTTCAAGTCGCCACACTCCACTCCTTGTAGCACGCAATGCAAGAGAAGAAGGTAGAAGAAATGCATAGTAGAGACAGTAAACAGAGGTGTGAGACAAAGAAATAGAAGTAACGAAGAACAATATAGTTTCACTGGAAATCATAAGTCACAAGAAGTGGATGCATCTGTGTCAGTGAGAACGACTTTTAAGCCAGTCATATCACCAATTGTTTCCAGCCATTGGTGTTTACCGTCCCGAGGACCCCAACCAGTCAGGAAGTCTACAGCTTCCTACGTGGCTGGCTTAAACTAACTGTTGTGGATTTCATTGACTGATAAAGGCATGTTTTGGTTCGACCGCCGCTAGCTCTTTTCCAGCCTGACCCTATATCCGCTAACATTGCCCGTCGACGAAGGCGATGACTACGCATACATAACACATGTCCTAACCATCTCAGTCGATGTAATTTCACAGCTGCGTCGATTGATTTTCCCTCCTAACCTAGTACTCGCTAACCTTTACATCTTGTGTGGTGATTACACTCAGGCCTTTTTTAATCTATTTTCGATAGTGAACTGTTCACTTGCTTTGCAGTGCTGTATCCAAAGCAGCTAGGTATAAACAATTCTAAAATCATACAGTTGATGGGACAAACTGATAGTACCCTTAACTACAACGATAAATATTGCCATTTCATGATGTAAACAGTTAGGGACACAGATTTGTCAAGTCACTAACTCTTAGTCTCAGTCTCGTGTGGAGGGATACTAACTCTCTGTCTGGTATTATCGAAATGCTACGAACCAATAGTCGAAGGCTCTTGCCATCATGGTTAATGATGACGCAGATGTGAACACTGATTGTTGATCTCAAGACTGAGGTCCTCATTAAATTATGTCTTCGTTTATTGTAGATTCCATAGATGTTTTTCTCCTTATTTAAGTGTGCTTTGCAGAAACGTAGACACTTAAACTAATGCACTTGAATGCAAAGTTCAATGTTGTCCAGTCAATGAATCAGTCAGTTGGTATACCTTGTTCTGATTTAGATTGTGTCCACTTATTCATTCAGCAACAAAAGAAAATCAAGGACATAATTAAACTAAAAAAGTATAGCCAGAGGACTTTTGTTTCAGAGAGGTCATTTAACGATACAGCTTAAATCCTCAATGCACAGAATGCACTTTATGCGAATATTCATATGTTTACACTAACCTCGTATTTTGTGAGGGCTCTAGAATGTGGCCCAGAAGGACGATAGATCTTTGCATAGTTTCTTAATGCTTCATAAATCTCCAGCGTTTCACCTTGACTAGCACCAACCCTGTAAGTATTCACCATTTCAAGCATTTCAACATAGGCGGTATAAGGACCAAGTTTGCGATGATATGGTTCAGGTCGATATGGATTGTCTGAAAAGCGTGGAACACGTGTAGCGACTACAACTTCTGCTTGCCTTCTTAAAATGGCATAAAATTCAGACGGCAATCCAGGTGGACACCACTTGGCAACGGTTAGGCCAGCTTCTGTGTCGTCCGGCGACTCCTGTGAAAGATTCGAACTGGTCTGAGTATTTTCTGGCACTTCCATCTCAGTTGTTACGACTAGCGTAGTCTAAATATTAAGACGAAAAAAATTAAACATCAGAATATTCGATAAGTACAGTTAATATACGTTTTTCAAACACGTCGATGAAACAAACCATTTAAGAAGGGAAATCCAAGGTAATACCTTGCATAGAGAAATAGAAAAATACAAATTTCAGCTGAATAGTTTTATAACCTGACTCATGAAATAACAAGATATCCCTATGAATGATGTAGATCGAACAGAGATAAAACGTAGGAAGCAGTTAAAATAATATCTACATAACCACTTTATTACATAAACAACGTATTATTATTTATTTTTTCCTTCACATTCCCAGTGGAACATAGGACTTTAAGCTAAAGGTTTGAAGTTTCTGTAGCAGCGTTTATTTTTACAGGATGGAGTTGCTAGCCTCAAGCCTAACCTTTCCCCTTCACCAGCTCTTACTTCTGGCTGAGTGAGGTAAAGGAGTGCCTTGTCGGCCGGGGATCGAACCCCAGACCATGTGCATCGTCGTCGAGCGTTCTAACCGTTATGCCACCGACGCACTCATATACAACGTAAGAAACCCTTAATGTTGGCATGAGTCACCTTATAAAACAATGTCAAAATACCTCTACTAGGAAAAAAGGGAATTCCAATACAGCTATCGATCAAATTAAAGTCGTAGAGGGGGGTGGCAGCAATTATCTTTCATCACAGTGAACTAAGCTTACCATTATGGGTTCAGAAGTTTCCGTCGGTCCAAGAAACACATACTCTAAAGAGCTTCCATTAATTTCGATAATAACACGATCACCAGTATGACCTTGTTTTTGATCGAGTATATTACCACCTTCATCAGTAAGTATAACAACTTGCATAGATTCACCATCCACTATCGTAGTTGCCTCAGTAAGATTAAACTGTTGGCCAGATGTGGTTGCCTCAGTTGTTTCACCAAATCCAGAAGGAACCTGACTTCGATCAGCTCCATTTGCATTACCCTTAAGACAAAATTAAAATAGAAAATATGAAGAATTTATAAAGAAACTAAATAGTGTCTAACATGTTAACTTTGAAAGCATTTTCAGCATAACAACCTGTAAAGTACATGTCTGATGTATTCTTTGTATAAAAAGCTGATGACAGTGAATCTAGTATTAGTACACAGTACTTCAAAAACTATCATGACACAGATTCCTGTCACATGGATACGATGCATAACCTTTCGAACCAATGTATTGCCTATTTACGAGTTAAAGAACTTAGAGACACATTATACTGGGTAAAAACCTGTACATATGAACCATTCGACGTAAAAATGCATTGTGATGGGATGGAGAAGAGCGATAAGTTTGAATTTCTGAAAAATGCAGTCAGTAATCCAATCCTTAAATTAAGGTGTTTAAGACATAATGCTTTGACAGTCCACAACCAAACCCCATCCTACTGTAAGCACTACTCCACATAAAGATAAAAATTCTAGATGAGGCATTCCGACAATCCCACATAACCTTCACATGATCGCTAATTTTGTCAGAAGACATTGGTAAACAAGAAATGTACGCTAAGAGATTCCTGTGATGAAAAACTTCGTCAAATACACCTCTTAAGTTTAAATAAATGAACCACTTGATGGAGAACAATAATTCTCTAACAGACTGCACATTATTCGACTTTAACAGCTAAATATGTACACATGACTGTTGGCATAGAAGCATTAAGATCCTTGAGAAAAAAAGAAAAAGTGGTGAGCTTACCTCAGACCAGTTTGTTTGACCATTTGTATTCTGTGCATTATCACCTGATGGATTAGAGGCATCCTGGGCATCTGCATCAGTTGATGAAATAAGCAGAGTGGACTGAAAAACCAAAGTGGTGGGAAAATTAAGTCAGCCATGGAAATATAGTTAACGTCTAAATGCTTTTAGTTTTTGATGACTAAGCTTTGACTTTTTGACTGAAAAGTTATCACTTATCATCTCTGAGGAATTCTATTACGTTAGGTATGTGCATATAGAGGGAAATTATTATTACTAAACTAATAGCCTAAGAGGTTCTATGCTTATCTCATTGACTATAATTTCAACTAAACTTACTGGCCTTAAAAGAACTGTAGGCAATACCCTATAAATGCAGTAGCATTTTATAACCAAAATTACCCAGTGAAATTCACGCGACTTCATCAACCTGAAACCAATCTGGAAATCTTCGTCACTCGGCATCAACAACAAAATTCGGATTTTCAATACAAACATCAAGTCAGTTCTTCTTTACGGATCAGAAACTTGGAGAGTCACAAAGAATATTTCCAACAGCCTGTTGCAGACCTTCATCAACCAACAACTCTTCGCTGGCTCTTTACTGAAGATCAGATGTCCGGGCCGGGAAGAATCACCAACAAGAAACTATGGCTGGGAACAAACAAACAAAACAAGAACCAATCACCTAACAAATATGCAGGAGAAAGTGGAAATGGATCGGACAATCGCTGAGGAGACCGCTGGGTGACATCGCGCGTCAAACCCTCGAGTGGAACCCGAAAGGGAAGCAAGCGGCGAGTGGGACGTCAGTGCAAGGGTGACATGGAGATCGTGTGAAGAGAGAGGAGTTGAAAGAGTGTGGACTAACATGGATGCAGGTGAAAAGTACAGCAGAAGGAAGACAGAATTGGCAAGTGGAGACGTGCAGTTGAAGCCCTATGTTTCACTAGGAACCCAAGGGAGCAATAATAATAATAAGGTAAATTGGACTACCTACTATGTGAATATTACAAACACTTGGCAAACACAAACATTTAACTCAATAAACATTAAGCGATATGTCTGACGAGCTCTGAATTTCAGATAAATTTAGTTTGCAATCTCTATGTACCTTACCAGATGAGTGGAAGTAACCCAAAAAATGAGACACCAATTATGCTTTTCGTTAAACAAGTTTCTTCATCACACAACCGTAAAATGACTTCACAGCAGTTGCACAATTCCCCTGAATTTAGGGGTGATTCTGCTGTCATTGATATAAGAATAAAACTTGTGCACTGTGGTAGGGTGTAATTCCATTATGGGTAAATTTTGTTTTGATACAGTCTCACAGTGTTATACAGTGATGTTTACTGATGACGTTTCGAGCACAATTTATTGCTCATAATCACATCAAGGTATTCACACGACTTCCTAACTTCATTTATATAGTTCCATTATTTTTCACTTGATTTTCGCTTCATTTGATTGGTAGCAGTATTTTCCATATTTTGGGTATGAGTCATGAATCATTTCTATTGCACGTGTTGGGTGTAGACTCGATGAACAAGGATTCAGTAATCAATCTCTCGCTACCTATCTACCCATATTACTTCTTAGACTTTTAACCCTCTCCCATCCTATTGTGTGGTTGTGTGTTAATGCATGCATTGCAATTGCTGAGCTTTTTTCTAAATTGCTTATCTTCTCAGGGTCAAATATTCTTACCTTAGATAAATTCTTATGTTCTGACAATCTGATTCTGCTATCTATCCGAGTGGTCAGCGTTGTTATTTACGGCATTCAGCTGCACACACTTGGTGCAATGCACAGAGGAAGACGAAGATACTTAAAGCCTGATGAATTTAAGCTTTGTGCAGACAACTAGTGAACTTATGTATTATTTATCGAATAAATCAAGCAAGCATATATAGTTCAATGTAATTTAATTTTCAGAAATTCATGAGCCTGAGATAAAACGAGTATTTGAATTGCAACTCTGGTCCTCCTACTACCAACCTATTTTTTCCACAATAAACGTAATGCATAGTTTAAATTTGTCTACATCTATGAGAGCATTTGATTTTTGGAATGAGTTATTAACAAGGACTACATATGTAGTGATGACACGATGATTTACACACCAAAATCTTAAACATGTAGGATTTACTCCACACTGAACATAAAGGAACACGGAAATACTTACTGTCTACTTAAGCTCTCTCGTTAATGACTATTCTAATGGAAATTCAGTTCACGTGATTCTCTGTAACTTAATGTGTTTGTCTCCGGACCAAAATGACTCGACTTATGATAGTAAGCAATTGAGAGTGATACATTTCTTAATGAATTCCAGAAGACGACTACTAGCTTAACATGAAACGTAACATTAAGTATAAACGTGAAACTCTCCAACAACCGGCATTAGAAAAGTTAATTACTTCAGAAAAAGTGGGAGCGAGTTCCAAGAGGTCTACCATAACCCTTGCATATTTTCAAACTCCAATGACTCTTAAACTCAGTGAACGAAATCACACCCCTTCTGTTTCATAACAGATATCGGAAAGAAGTATGCCATCGTACATAACAAGACAACTGAGCACAAAGTCATTTATTAAGTATTCCACGGTGATTCACTCAGCTAAACTAGTGATGTTGACAGTCACTGATACGACTGTCTGTGCAGTTCGTCAAGTTTTGATTTTCCAGTCAATCAATCAATCTGCTACTTAAAACATCGGGTGAAATGATTTAATAGTTTTATTTAAAATGAAAATTCAGAATACAATCCATTGACAGAATAAAGGAACTAATTACCCCCTGAATGACTGACTATAACAAACGAGCAGTATTCGCTTAATTTTCAGTGACACCAGTACATGATTTACAATCAATAAATGACATTCCATGTAGCTTGGTCTCAACCGGGTATTACTACCATATTTTGCTGAATTTACACTATATTATGTAAAAATGTTGCATCATTATCAACTGATAACCTCAACACTCGCAATTGCCTTAATGAGCTACTTGTCCGCACGCGTCCTGACAAAGGTGTGGTTACACAAAGCAGCTGACTGAGGAGAACAGCAATACTACTGAAATAATTGCATGTCCGAAATTCTGACTGACCGTAAATACATTACAGGTCATAATGCCTAAATTTACATCGACTAAAACTGAAAAAAGTCAGTCGCCTAATGCGCGTTCTGAAGTAGAGTGAACCATCAAAAGTATGGGCAGACGGGTACACATATGCAACAGAAATTACGCGATGAAGTAACCTCTTACCAATCAACTAAAAAGACCTACCGTTAGAGGTTCACCAGTTTCAGTAGGACCCTGTATTTCATAAGCGAATGCTTGTCCATGTATCTCGAGAATGACCTGCTCCGTAGCTTGCCCTTGCTTTTGATCTAATACATTACCTTGACAGTCCATAACGGTAACAACTTGAATTTGGTTATTGTTGACTACTGCCGTTTGTTCGCTTAAAGTAAACTGTTCCACCCCTTCAGCTAATTGGGTAGTATCAGACGTATCTCCATCATTTTGGTTAATTGCAGTATCTGTGGCATCACTTGGCAGGCCAACGACAGATGGCTGTTCGGATTTAATAAGTTCAGGGTCCGTCTTTGTCGGCACTTCAGTTGGTTCAGATTCAGTGGCACCTGGATCACACTGTTTAACAACGGAAGGGTCCTCCACTGCTTGTTCATCTGACAATGCATCTTTTGGCTACAAACAAAATGGAGGTGAGTTCGAAATATGTCCAAGTGTGTCGACAAAATGCTAAATAAGAGAAAGCCAACGAAAACCAACCTGTTCAACTTCCTCCAGCTCACTGTTACCAACAGGAGCAAGTGTAAGAACCGGTTTACCTTCATCGTCAAGAACATTTTGCAAAGTTGCCTGACCAGACAATATCTTCTTCGCATCTTCTGGAGTAACTAGGGCACATCCAGTTGCATCATCGTTTTCGTCCATAAATACGAGTTTAACAAGGTCCTGACCGGACTCATCGCGAACAATTTCAAAGCCATGAGCCACTAACTCTTCAATTAAATCTGACATTTCGAAGACAAAGCCCCCGCCTTCAGGAGGTCAAGCGATTGAATATTCAACAATCAATGGGTCACCTTGCGGATTTCGATACTCAGAAAATTTATGGTCAGTTAACATACCTGTCCTAATGGTTAACCTATGCAGTTTTTTGGAAATTTCGGTGCAAAAGAAACTGGCAGAAAGCGAGAGGCACAGTGGAGCTGTACAATCCAAACAGTTACGATTCATTAAAAGAAAGCAGTCTTTCAAGTGGGCGATTCATCAACCCCTGGTCTGAACGCCTGTAAGTATAAAAATAAGGTCAATCCTCAACCCTTACCGAAAGTTTGAAATACTTACTCATGATATTGCCTCAGATGCTAAGAAACGAGGAACAGCAATGACTCAGTTTTCACACAAAAAGCGACGCCCTAATTCACAGACTTTTTCACCTTATGCCTACTGCTTCACACAATTGTAGCTACCTTAATGCTTCTAGTGGTTCTTAAAAGGCTGAATATCAGAAGGTGTGAAGTTTCCAAATGTTAACTTACGATTATCGATTATGCCAACATGTCTCTATTTCCTGTCTCTTAGAAATCAGTTTTGATGGGGAGATAAATTGAATTCCCCCACTTTCTAAGAGCTGATCCACAAATAACTTCAACACTCGTAGTCTCAACACTTTACTTCAAAAGTGCTTAGTATTCCTAAGCAATGATTTCATTCAGAATAAACTATAATTTTAGCTGAGTAACTGACCAAATACTGCAACTATTAATACTTTTTGATGCCATGTTGCTACCAGAAGTTCGGTCAAGTCAGTTTTGTACAGTAAACAGTACTTTTCACCATTCAGAATATGGTCCTAAGACATTCTCGACTGATGCTTGTATGAGGCCGCTGAGAACAGATTTATTTAAATCTCTTTAATGCTGATGTGTTTGGGGATTTAATAGTTTTCAGTGAGACCAAACTTCGGGAAAAAAATAACCAACTCAGTTTAGTACTTTAAATCACTTCGCAGTTGGCTCAGGAACTTCCTAGAACTCAGCCAGTGTATATGCAGCAACCTTCATGCTGCAGATTCGTTAGACATGGTGTAAGCGCAATATCGCTTGAAATTAAGTCACGCGTGGATAAAGGCTATCCCGGGCCACAACAAACAAGAAGCCGGTCACTGTTTCTACGTACTATTAATAAACAAATCAATAATTATATATACAACAAACCTTAACGGTTTCAGGAGTACAAAGCACAACGCTTAACAGAAAGCAAGGTGCCGCTATCAGGGAGGAATAACGTTAAAGCCAAGATTGCGAACTAGCCGAAATCAGACACGACCGTTCAGGCAAGCAGTTAGCAGAAGAATGAACCCAAGTAAGGCAGGTTAAGAGATAGACAGAGCATAGGCGCAGAGATAGAATTTAATTGGCTACTTAACCAGGCAGGAAAATACAGATGAAGATCAATAAATAAGATAAACTCGACAGAATAGTACAAAGTAAGACATGGGTCAGCAAAAATAACAGTTCACAAAATACTCTGATTGGGTCATGAGTTCAACTGTCTGACTAAACGGATCGAGGTAAAAACACATACACATATTTCATTAAACAAGGGGGATCGACACGTCAGGCATGGATAATTGGGTTGCAACAACGCTAGGCTGATCAGGGACAGGTTGACTTGATTCAACGATGGGAATTGAATTGACCTTACACATGGAGTGCAGAATAAGGCTAGTCCTTAAATAAGTCCTACTGATCTGTGCCGACTTATCCTAATATGCTTTCATCGAGGTTTGTTCCAATTACACCCTCTGTGCAGTATGGCTTACAGAGTCGACATTCTTAGGCCAACTTCGCAAGGCTGAGGAGTTTTATTGTGTGAAATGTCCAAACGGTTACTAACAGAATGCCAAGGCTAAGATAGGAAGTTAACCCGTTTCTTCAACTTTCTTAGTAGCTACCTTGAGAAAGGTTATAATGAATGGCGTATTCTAAGTTTCTGTCCGAGTATCTAGTTTGTTACACTAAGGGACACCTTAATTATGATTTATCGTCCTACTAAAGTTGTCTGCTGATGACCCACCCCAGGTTAGGTGTGAATGATTTTTAACCCTGTATTACCACTGGCTGAAACTTTTAATCCGCTCCCTATTCTGTATACTGGCTTTCACATCTCCAATGAAAATAATGTGAGAACCCTATTTTTGAAATATATGGTAATGTTTTAGGGAGGTCCACATTTTTGCATGACTCGCCAAGTTTTTGCTCAATTCCTCACCAGTGCGTATGCTTTTGTCTTCTGCTGCTGAAGTAATTTTATTTGATTTTGTGTACGATCTAAACTGGGCAATGTGTCACTTGTCACAGAGCTTCCAGGAAACCAGTTGGTAAGTTTGTTTGAACGACTTCTAGCCTGCTTCTAGTTGGCTTCGACAAGAAAAAATGCCCACTACCGATTCACTGCCATCTATCCTGCAAGACCTGGGCTTTCGCTACACTACCTGGTTACTCTTTGCCCTGGCCTATCTAACCTGGTGATCAGGTTATTGTTAACTTCCCACCCCCCCAACTAGCGAAGAAAGTGTATAACCTTCATAGCTATTCAAAGGTCAATTAATTATCGATTAGCTGAACAGATTGTCGAAATACATATTCACAGCACAACGCCTTCTCTGAGCCCTTGTCCCTCGAATATAATATCGACTATTATTTGTTTCACTTCTCATGGATAAGCATAATGATCACTGAAGGTGAAACGGCTGAGGTTCAGTTGACTGAATGGAATTCTTTGGCACACTGCAGGCTAAGGCTGTTTTGATTTTACTGTACTGTAAATGATCCCAGCCTTCATCTTATATTGGGTTTGCCTCTTCATTCACAGATATTATATATCAGTGTAATGTTTTGTGATACTGTGGAAGTGCTGATTTGGTTACTCTTTGGAAGAAATTATAGCGGTAAATAATTCCCCAAAATTATTGACCACAGCAATCACTCGTTGGATGCTGACCACCACTGTTTAAGTGGACTTGTTTAGCTGAAGGCTTCCGGTCAAGCATCCTCGCCATTTGGTACCCCGTCGTGTCACGTGCACGATCACTAGCTAGTTAAGCGTTCGTCTAACGGCTTGTTTTGGCTTCTAAATATATCGCTTGGTTTGGACGATCAATTATTGGCTTTTGTTTTGTCTTTGGTACGCGAGAATAAATTAATTAGAAGTTGTTGAACGAGATATCCGTCAACCTTTAAACTGGTGAGCCCAACCGCGAACTTCATCCACGATAAATCCGCAGATAACCCCGGTGAGTTCGTTCCATTTTGTATTTGTTCTTGTACCATATATAATTCGACATAATTTTCGTCATGAGTGATCTTAGTCCCAAGGTCATCCGTATCCGCTCAACTCCTAAAACCATTCAGCTCGTACCATACTGGCCAGATAATGCTGAAACGTGGTTTCTGCTAGCTGAAGCAGATTTTTGTGAGCATGGGATAACCGATCAACGTTCACAGTTACTTGCAGTTATTCACGCCCTACCGCGGGAATTCAGCAAGTACGTAACATCACAGATGTTGAGTCCCGAGGTAAGTAACTCGTACGAGTTGCTCAAAGCATCCCTCCTCAGGAGAAACGTTCTCACGGACCGACAACGTCTAGATGAATTATTTCGTAACATCGAGTTAGGAGATCAGTCAGCCGTGAGCATGCTGACAGGAATGAAAGAAGTTGTCGGCCAAATTCAGTTCGACGAAGGACTATTTAGAGAACTCTTCTTAACCAAGCTGCCACAGTCTGTACAGACCGTACTTGTGACACTTCAGGGTACTGTAATAGAGGACTTAGCTATTACTGCAGATAGGATTCTAGAAATAACTAAACGGCCTGTTCCCGAAATATGCTCGATGACTAAGCAGACTTCGAGTGAGGATCCTGCAATGATAGAGTTATGCAACTCCATCCAGCAGATGTTTAGGTCAAACATGCCTTCTAAATCCTCCGACCGTCGTCCTAAATCTCCTCAACGCAGGAACTCACGTGGTCGATCTAAGTCCAAACCACGTTCACTGAAAAACCCTGACTGGTGCTGGTACCACAACACCTATGGCCAAGAAGCGAAGTGTTGCCGTAAGCCTTGTAACTTCGGAAATGTCTCAAAGTCTGTGGGAAACTATCCCGCCGGCACGCGTTAGCGGCAACCGTCGCCGGTGGCACTAGCCGCCTTCTTTACATCCATGATGTGATAAGCCAGACTCGATACTTAGTCGACACGGGCGCCGAAGTCAGCGTCCTTCCTGCTACAGCATCAGATCGACAGAAGGAATCTACCTTCAACTTACAGGCTGCAAATGGAAAACCAATCGCAACCTTTGGTAGGAAATACGTCTATCTGAACGTAGGTTTACGCAAACCTATTCGGTGGATTTTCCTTCTCGCTGACGTTACAATGCCCATCATTGGCAAAAAAACGGACCTACCATCATTTACTCGTAGACGTCCGCCGAAAACGACTGATTGACAATACTACTAGTCTGTCTATCAAAGGCATCAGCTACATAGGCCCTAGTTTGTCACCCGTTAAGATAAAGGCAATTCTTGATCCAACTTTTCAACCTATTGTTGACAAGTATCCGGAACTTAATTGCCCGTCGAACGACCTACCGTGCATAACCAGCAATGTTATGCACCACATCATTACCACAGGACAACCTGTGACATCTAAAGCACGACGATTAGCTCCTGACAAACTGAGAATCGCCAGGAATGAATTTGACCATATGCTTACCCTTGGCATCATTCGACCTTCGAATAGCCCATGGGCATCCCCACTTCATATAGCAATGATTGGCGACCCACCGGTGATTACCGGCGAGTGAATGCCAAAACAACCCCTGATTGCTACCCGTTGCCTCATATACACGACTTGACGGCAACCTTATCCGGCGCGACTATATTCTCCAAAATCGACTTGGTTAAAGCGTATAACCAAATCCCGATGGCAACAGAAGACATCCCGAAAA